ACTCTACAACTACTCTACAACTTCACACTTTGATTACTGTGATGCTGTATGGGGAAATTGCGATACAACACTTCAAACAAAATTACAAAACAAAAGCGCCTGTATGATAACCAATGCACAATGGAGTGTCCCTAGCACTCGAAGAAAGAAGACGTAATCACGGGGCAATTATGATGTTTAAAATTGGAAATAATCTTGCACCAATGTACCTAAAAGCAAATTTAAAAATACAACCACTGGCTATGACCTCAGACGAAGCAGTCAATCACGTCATCTAAACACGTCTCCAACAATCATTTAGCCTTATTGTGAGCTCAAGCGCCGCGTTGTTTTCGTTTCCAAAGTTATAATGAATACAGGATTTCAATCGCAATGTGTGTTCACTCTAACAAAATGAACTGATTGGTCCTAGCAGTTTTCCTTTACCAAAGGCAATACGTATTTTGTATCTCTAAAGTTAATTTTTTTAGGGTATAAGACGGATTCGTGATGTGAGCAAACTTACTCTGGAGAGCTGCAAAGTCATACGCACTCTTCTGCTCTATTTGCAAATACACAAGTTCTTCGAAGAAAATATACACGTCGAGATAGTTCTTCCTAAATAATAAAAGAAAATTGGAATCGCTTTAAAATAATGAAAATGATTTGCTTATTTACTGATACCCTGAGCCTTGGACTAAAATTAGCCACGGGCAAACTTGTATGTCGCTCCCAACTACCAGCCCTGCGCGCATGCGTGTGGCTCTTTACTGTTGGGGAAAAATAAGTGTTCTGATTGACTCGACCGGGGTTTCAACCATCACTTAGGTAGACTTTCGTTACCCAATTACCATCAAGGCTGTATTGTAATGCAGGATTTAGCCTTCATGTACGAGCTATATATCTCCCAATTTAACCCTGCTTGTGGTCCGAAATGTGTATGTTAATGTCACCTCTGTCTTCTCCAATTATGCTTGCTGTCTCATCTTTCCTATGTACAGTACCACCTAGAATAACAAATAGAAACCTTGCAGTCTGTGGTTTGCTTTCCAACGCAAAGAGCGCACCACGTTACCTGATGTACTCCTCACTGGTAGAGTTAAGCGGCAGATTTTCACTAACGTAGCTGGATGGCCAATAACCGAAAGAAACTCGACTGTCGTATGTTTTCAATTCACACGATACAGGACAATGACAGTCGCGGTACTTCTCCTGTTTCTGATACTCGGCTTGTATATAGAAAATAAAAATGGCGAGAAAAAACATAAATTTATAGAGATTTTACCTTAACTTTATATCATATAAGTAAAGTAGGTATGAGAATCCTTAATCGTTTACACAAGTGCCTTAAAAAGACAGGTACCTTTGTACTTGTCGATGCAGTTAAAATGCTGTTCAGGCGGGCAAAGCGGTGCCGAACCTGGAAGTTGGAATGAAATTAATATATTCAAATTCAATTTCTCGGTGTTATTATTGATGAAGGTCTTAACTGGAAACTGCACTACCAGCAGATCCAAATGTCAGTTTCACGTATTCTAGGAATTTTGCGCAAGTTGAAATACATATTACCAACAAAAGTACTACTTTCTATTTATAATGCCTTAACTCTGCCCCATCTTCAGTATGGACTGTTAGTTTGGAGAAACTCCCAGTTGAACGCTATGAATAAATTAGTAATATTACAACAAAAAAAAAAACTGGCTACGGATTATGACAAAATCTGGTCCTAGAGACCATACCGAACCGCTATTTCAGAAGCTGAACACCCTATCAATTTTCAACTTCTACAAATATCAACTAGGTATTCTAATGTTTAAATTTTAAAACAATTTTCTGCCCCCTGAAACCAACTCATTGTTTCTGAGGAATACTGAAGTCCACTCATATACTACTAGGTCAGCAGCCAAGCTTCACATTGCAAAGGCAAAACCTACAATATTTCTTAACTTTTAAAAGAGTTCGACATCAAGGCCTTTTGCTCTGGAATAAAATCACCCCCAGTACCATACTTTAGAAGTATACATGGTTTTAAAAAGTACTTGAAGAATATCCCCCTTTCCAGTGTAATATAGTTTATTTACCCTGTATTGTACACGCATTTAGTGTATGTATATGACATTGCTACTGTGCATTTATAACCTTGATAATGAAACAGTCATGTCTAGAATTGTATCATTCCTAAGATGTTATGACAAAGAAAATCTTGCTGAATTCTAACGTTCAGCTGTACCTTCTGTCATCTTACTCTCGTTACTCCCTCTTTTGTTTTTAGTAATTCTAGCCTCATGTGGATTTTACTATAACAAACAAGGAACCAGGCCATGAATAAGCGTTTCGCTTTCTGTCTGGTATCCGCCATTCATCATCTTTTATTTCAGTCTGTAATAACTTTGCTTCTTTATGTTCGAATTATGATGTGTGGAAAGAAACTAAACCAAACCAATGTCCAAAGTGCACAGAAATATTGAAACATTGCGATATCAATTCAATAATCTATTGATGCGATTTAAGCAAACTCATGAAACCGAGAATTGGAATGCTCCTATTGAGTTCCTTGCCTTGTTCAGGGGTTAATCTCTGCATAAGATATTCATTTCAAATGACAAAATGAAGGCTTGTGACATACCTGTCCATCTGTAGTCACGGCAACCGCATCGTTCCACCACATACTGCACCTTGCATTCGTACTTACAGGTGGGTACCGAGTAGGTCGTTGAATTCTTCGATTTAGACGAAGTGCAGTTCGACTCAAAAGGCCAAGGCAGACTCTTGAACTGAGAATGAAAAACATTGTAATGATCAGTACAGAGATTACAAAATCCTAATTAATTGTGACCCTGTATTTGTTATAATCGGTTTAGGGTTTAAAACAACTCGACGAAAAGGATACTGTTTGTTCTTAAAGTCCAGGATACACTTTGCTTGAACTCTATTAACTTAATTTTTCTTTCAACACACCACATTCTGTCTGATAGAAATGGAGGACTCAAAACCAGGAGATACGGAGATGCCGAGTTCTTTCACAAGTGGCATCAGTCCTTGAGGATGGAGCAATATCTGTGAAGAATACAAAGGAAAAGGGTAAGTTTAAGGATTATGCTTCTGTCCCTTCATGACAACATGAGCAATTTTGATAGCTGCTAAATCGAAAGGGAGACAAAATCTTTCAGACTGTCATTGGATATGAGCAGGTTGACTTACCCTGAAGCCAGCGGCTGAGTTTTCACCAAACGTATACTCATCAGTTTCAGCAAACAGTCGTAGGAACAACCCATCTAGCCTTCCAGCATTACTGACTTCAAGTCTGTGCGAGGCATCTTTAGGGTCATTAAATGTAAAGCAGACACCGTGATCAGTGAATCGACGGGTGAAATTCTGACCCGTGCATGGCTGAGTACCTCTCCACTTGCATTTCACTAGCATCCTATCCAGATAGTGGGAGATGTTAGCCAAGTGGTCCTCAGAGAAATCATAGTTAGTAATTTCATTGAAAGGCCCAAAGTCAATGGATTCAGGCGGATTGGGTCCGTAGACTTCATTCATCACCATTACCTGACCCGGAGTGAGTGCGGAACGCCGGAACTGGTTAAAATTACATAGAGTAACGGCTGGGAAAGTTAGGGTATCCATGTAATGGATGGAGATGGCACTAGTCATGGGGTAGTTGAAGTAAGTAATGAATGCCTCTACGATGCTGTAAACAAGCCAGATGGACATGACCAACACTAGCAGAAGCCACAACAATCTAGACAAAGTAAAATAATTAAAACATAGATTATAATAACACCAGTGTATGGTGAATTTCAGATTTTGTACCATTCGGGTGAGAAATGTGAAAGATTGTTGAATGAACGACTGAAACTCATGTTAAATTTTGTTCGCTACTATTCTATAAATGTATAATACAACGTAAAACGCTATCAGGTGCTGAAATTTCAAAACATTTCATGGTTAATTTAAATGTGAAAAATTACAACATATTATTTACATAGCTATATTGAATCCCGGGACATTTTCTTGAAGAGAGATAAATTCATGCGAAAAGTTGAACTTCTGTGGACAGAGTGAGAGGCAAAATTTGAAGGGCTTCACAGCTGGTTGTGTTTACCCTACATAAACAGACTGATTTATGTTAAAACTCCTCGTGTGTCCGGCAGAAAGGCATCCAGACAATTTCCCTCCACCCAATTCACAGTGCAACAGATGCTTAATTGCATCCTTTTGTTCATCAGACGTTGCGATCGAGGAGATAGGCAATATGGAACTTAATTGACTTCATCACACCCTCCTATGGCTACGCCGTTGTAACACAATTCCCTTGACCTGACTGCCTTGTCCATGATATATTGCCCATCACGCACCAAGGCCTATACCCCTTAATATCCTTCACAACGCAATTTATTATTTAGGCTTAATTTACATCGTTGGCATTCATAATTTTTACATACGTCAACAAAAAACTAAGGTTTCATTAGTGTATCAGAAATTCTAATAAGTACACGCTCAATGCTTGGAGAAAACAGACATTTAGTATTGGTTTTATGAGGTTTACATTTATTATAATTATGAAAATACACCCTAAAATGGACAACCTTCTTCCACAACAGTGATTAGAAATGTTTACTGCTTCCCTTTTGTAGTTGACTTTTGCTCCAGACGTTGGCAAATAATTTTCTTGGCTCGAACAAAAATCTGGTTATTGTTACTAGAGTAACACTGCCGGACATAATCATATTGACCATACTGGCTGGTGGCCACCGGTTAACACATGACTCCCTTTGCGCTTCCTATGTCTTCGGTCTTCTTCATTGTGGGAAAATGACATTGGGCAACACGACAAAATCTGCTGTTCAACATTTGTGACTTGTTGATTTGGTGTTTTTAGATTTTTGTCAAAATAACATGAATATTTTGCGCTTATGAACTATTGGAAGCAACATTTTCCCCTGGCAAATCACGCGTTTTCCAATGAAGAGATAAAAATGATTGAAATGGGTAAGTGAAGATGACGTTGCAAGTTGGCATTTTAAACAGTGTCATGCACGTAGGGTACATAATTTAGTATAGTGAAATCTGGTAGTGATGTTGTAAATGCTAAAAAAATGGGGTGCTGCTGAATTCCGGATTGTATTTGTGACATAAAAATCAGCGCATCCATAGCATCTCAGCAATGGCGTTATCCTAGCAAGCTACTGCCAAAAAATCTGGGTACACTACTTTTTAATGAATTTTTCTAATTCATTTTTCTGCACTTTAAAGAAAAAGAACCATCTGCAAAGGTTTAATCGAATAGTTTTGACGAGAACTGTTTCGACGGTAATCCAGTATATTATTTCGTTTTGGCTAGACCGAACTGTAACCACGATAAAAACTACAGTCTTAAATCCAACACTTGTATAGGTTTGGTCTGTGACCACTCTTTGAAAGTGTTGAATCCAACATTGAAAATATTAATTCCAATATACTTGTAGTGTACTCAGCAAATCAAATGTTCATTCAACACTTTCCAGAGTGTTAATGTTCAATGTGTTGAATCAACATTGAAAACATTGAATCCACTGCATGAGTGTTGGACTTAACAGTTCAGGTTTAGAGTAAATTTCTTTTTTTGTGTGGAATTCGCATAACCTTCACTCCTGAAATGATCTCACCTAAGCCCTAACCCTATGTCCGATTTACTTTTACATCGAACAAAGGTGGGGTGCGTGGGGCTTGATTTTGTCACCCAACATATCTGGATAGGGTGATGATTACCTGCTGTTCATGCACTGGCAAAAGTGGTTAGAGTATGTGCGGAGTTAGAAAGCAGATGGGTGTGGGTTCAATAACAAAAACAAGCCATTTAATCACCCAAGTTGGGACTGGTATAAGCATCCAAATACACGATGATATATAGAGAACTCAGGGTCAGGGTTGGCACCATAATTTTAAAATTCTTTTTAAATCATACCTTATTTCTGTAATTTTCTAGATCGGAGCGGGTTACTGGAAACACGGCTGATTTTTGGCCTAACGGAACAGTCAAGCAGTCAATATTTTCGTGAACACTTGAAGGTTAAGTGATGAGGCGAAAATAATGACCTTGGATTGCGACTGTCCCTTCCTCTCCCCTAGACCCGTCTTCATGATGTTCAGATCTCGTTGGTACCTGCCTAAATATGTCATTTGTTTCCACAACAGATCGCAAAACAGCATTTGAATTATGTTTGTCCTTACCTTCTCTGCTTCTTGTAATTCAAGTTAATCACATAGCTGATTCCGTGCAGGGTCGTACTGTTACCAAAATCCTGGAACCGCTCAGCGAACGTACGATTGGCGTCATCATCTTGAGTGTGCCGATTTCTGTCATTCTTTATGATGTTCAACTCGTCAAGGTTGTCTTTGCCCATGACCCGTCTTTCGTTGAAGCCATTTCTAGGCGTAGTTTCAATTATCACCCTTGGGTCCATTATGATCTTGGTAAAGTTCACCGAGTTTTTGTAGTTTGGAGGCAGGTACAGGCTTTCACCAACTAAGTGTTAAAGAAGCAGCAGTGAAAATGATTGCTCTAAAGGTTGTTGTCAGAGGAGCACAGGCTTGTGGTGTGATGTGTCGGTCAGAGATATAATGATGTTGGTAATTAGTGTTTAGCTCGTTATCGGTTCTGTAGTTAAAGAGCATTGTTAGTCCCTTAGAGATCAACTCCTGTCCGTCATCCAGGCTACCCTCTCGAGGCTGCGAAAATGCAGAGCTATGAACTTTATGGTTCAGATCTTTGCTGCCCATTGGGATGGGGCCTGGGCATTACCGTGTTTTCTTTAATTCGAATAAACAGAGTTATGTAAATTTCAACCATAAATTATGCTCTTTGCTTGAACGAGAGAGGGCGATGTTGACATTAGTAGCATGCAGCTACTTCCTTTTGGAGCGACCAATGACTGGCATACAAATGTATGTACGTCACGCGCCATTCATGTACACATTGGGTCGTATGAATAAAAACCTGCAAATGCTATGAAGTTCAAGCAAACAGCAAAAGCATTTACTGAGAAGTAAAAGCATTGAGATGCTTGAATTTGTTGGAATAAAATGTTACTTTGACTAATCAGAATCTTGTATAAATATTAGCAAATGCTTTATGCTTGTGGGTGGCTGACTGCACAGCCGAATGGTTTTGCACAAGAGGGCTTCCGTTGTCTGCACGTACAGACATACACAGTGCAGCACGGTGCTGTATCTTGAGACCTCAGCACGGCAGATAAGCACGATGGCAGTAATTTTGATCGCAAATATCTTGATGAAGAAAATTGCTCTGTCACTCTCAAATCAGTGCAAGTGCCTGCATCTGGTTTCTTGAGATTCCCTCATGGAGGCATACAGCTTTTCCTTTCGAATGACATTCATGAACGCTGCCATTTTGAACATTAGTAAATGCTCCTCGTTTTCAAGCTTGCCCTGACCCAGTCTTGAAAATTGTCACGTAAATATTCCAATTCTGTAGAAATGACTCATTTATGAAAATGAAGCAACTGCTTATTGTCTCAAGCACAAGCTTAAAGATTAGAAAGAAAAGACTTTGACCTTTTAGCAATTTCACTAATTAAGTAAAAGCATTTTCATTATTATTAATACAAACACAAGTAAATGCTTCAAAAATGGCAGTAAGAGCAGATGCTACTTCTTATTCATACGACCCATTGATTGCTTTACACAACATGTTCTTGGCTCAAACAAGTACACAGCAGCGTGCTTCACTAGCTCTCAGAATTTCCCCTTGGGAAATATCTGCTTGTTTTTTGGCATCCCGTTTGACTTATTCAGCACTTTACTGAACGAAAGAGGGCGCTCTTTGGAACTAAAATCCAACTGTATAATAATAATACAACTGACACGATCTTATGACACCAGGTAAATAGCGTAACAGCCATAGTCTCTGTGGAAACGGTCGGAGTTCAGAGTATCAATTCTTTTATCAGTATCAAAGGTGATGCTTTTCTCAGATTTCATTTTGTGACAGTTATTGGAAGCTGTTCTGTTTTTCAGTAACTTCGGATACGCTCCGAATACCTGGCTTGTTGAAGTGGGACAGTTAGTTAAGATTTTCTATAACAAAACGATGATCCATGATGTATAAAGTAAAATCGGAACGGAATAATGAATCAATCGTTAGTTTTATTGCAACCAACATCAAAGCAAGCATGTTGTGACGAACCAAACAAAACAGGAAGGCTCTGCCTATATATAGAAACCACGGCCAACTAATCGGATTAGTTTTGTTATTTGAGAGAGTATATGCATGTATATTGTTGCCGTAAAAACCAATCTGTGTAATTGTTGTGTAAAAAGGGTACAAGGCAATTATGCAGTTATGTGTAACAACTGAGTTTGGAGAATGGTACACAAAACAGTTCCAGCCACACGATGGAATATGCCCTCTGACGTCATAGACGTACTTCGCCCAATCAGAATGATCCGTATCTGAGAACGTAAACTCAACAGAACGTGCCGCCTCTTCAAAGATACAACGTGGTTAAGTAATTCCATTGGAATGAACTTACGGTAAGCCTGCGCTCTTAAAGTTGTCGTGGTGAGAATTGGGTGACAAACGAATCGGTGTATTCAAATGGTATCAGGTTCTCATGTACAATTTGTCCATGAGAGAAATTAGCCAATAATGCGATTTGTCTTCATATTATTTGCAATACTTATGACCGGCATCATTATATCTGAATTATGACCATGAAACTTACTTAATCAGCCGGCCCACTTTTAAATATAAAAACCCTTTGAAACGATATGAAAAACATATGCGACGAATAAAATCGGATGAGGGATTATGTCATCACGTGATAATACCTAGTAGTGGTAGTAGCATCATGTGACTTCGTACGATGTATGCTTGATATCACGTTGTGTGGAGTGCGACGCAGATTTAATCGCTCGAGTTTTATCTCACCTATTTCGTACAGTCCTTCATTTTCAACCAGTCAAGATGATAGGGTCTCGCATATTGGATACCTGTCTTTCTCAGGAGCCGTGAAGACTAGCTGATGGAGTTACGCCATTGGACAGGCCGAAAGTGATAGCAAACACGGAGGACCTCACTCGAGAAAACAGCTTTCCGCTTAGCAAACACTGATGCTTGGACATTGCTGCCATTATTGCCTCGTGGTTGCCGTTTTGGGAGAAGCGGACTGTTTAATTGGTCGTTGTAATTACATCTTGCTTTTAAGGAACACGTGTTAGATTCCCAGCCAAGAGTGTATCAAATAGGAAGTTGGCCTGTGCGTGTGTGCTGGGAGGAGAAGATAAAGATCCTACATGTAATTCACTTCACCGCAAGAATCTTGATTATCTCGGTGGCGACAGCGGTTTGGCCGGGCCTTCATGGTCAGTCCTCTGAAAGTTGAGATAATCGAATGTATTACTATTGGTTGAAACCTTTGCTGGACAAAAAGTGCGCCCAGAGTATGTTTGTAGTCACTGGGTATAGCAACCAATAAATCCGACTTGTGTCTAAGTCGGGCAGGATTCGAATCTGCACGTTTCGTTCCTACTGGATGTTGTTTCTTTCGTCATGGATGTGTGGACTGTCGAAAAGAGTCTTAACAGAATTGATGAATCTACGTCTGCTGACTCCATAAAAATGAAAGGATGGAGAAAAGACGAAGGGAGTGTGAATGGTGATGGTCGTAAACGATCTGTGCACACGCAGACGGAGAGCGATCGTAGAAATGCAGACAACTGCCGACAGATTTTCAACCGACGCAAATGGAGTGAATTTGGCACTGTGACCACTCTGCATGGGATGCGGTACATTACTCAGCCTAACCACAGCTTCACTAGAAAGTAAGAGAATCATTTTATGTACAGTCTTTGGCAGATTTCTTTCTGGAAACCACTCTTATTATACAGTGTCTTGTGAGTCAAATCAATCTCGTGAATTTGGGGAGCAAAACTGACGATTGCTCGTTGACTAGTTTCCGATCATTTAAAGGGTTTATGTCAGAGAAGAAAAGCAATGATGGGAAAAGAAGTACATTGTGCTTGTATTTGCCTCCAGTATGAATTACACCATGGCTACTGACAAGATCATGCCAATCACCGAAGCTTGAACTTTTCCTGTCGTTCTTCATTCAATTTCTTACCATATCCGTCAGCTTGCTGTGGTGCTTCACGATGCAAGGCTGTCCCTAGTTACCCTACAAGATGTTAACAAAATTCCACTTGCACCTAGAGTTTGTTTGAAGATCTTGAGTCTGTGATAGTTATATTATGGAAAAATCATTCTTTCATGAACAAAACCGTTTGACTCAACGGCTGTCAAAGATTACTCAGTTTTGCAAAAGAAGAACGAATAAGCTATCACTCTACATATTACTTGCAGTGGAAAATACAGAATCTGCATGCTAGCTTGGTGTTGACATTTTTCCACATGGGGAAAAGGTTCTTGACTTGTTTTGAAGTGGTTGAAGCACTCTGAAGTGTCTGAAATTGCCTGTCGATGTTGCATGAGGAGTTTGTCAACACATGGAAAGTGAATGACGGATCGTATCTCTAGGGAGAACAGACTAGCAGGCATCGGTGAACCAAGCTCATATTGATTTGCTTATTGGCTGAAAGATGAATGTAAAAAAAGGAAGAGAGATTAGCTGGAAAAATCCAAGTCTGTCTAACCAAGTCTAATCTTTGATTAATTTTTTTCCCAACTTTTTCAACAAATAGCTGCTGTTAATATTCAACTTTTGGCATTCGAACTCGTTCAACAGCTGGTGTGGCCGTAGGGATACGCATTAATCATACATCGCCATCCATCGCTTTAATGTCCATTTTTTTACTCGAAAATTCTTCTTTGAAAATCCAAACAAAATTGATCCTGACGAAAATATTTTGTTTCGTGTCATTAGCAACATGTCTGTTCCCGGTATGTTTGTCATGAAACATGTTTTTACGTTTTGGGGAATGCTCTGTTGATTTTAACGTCCTCTTGGACACATGGTGCAGACCACAGTTTGTCAGCAATGGATTCTGGCCTGCTGTTAATTCAAAGTCGAAATTTCCAGGCAGAAATCGATTGTGTGTCAGGTGGTCTCCATCCCACTTTACGTGCACTGAAAATTAAAACGAATTTCTTAGCATCAAGATGAGCATTGTGAAATGATTGTGTTGAAAGCTGACTTTCATCGACTTTATGTAAAATAATTATTTTCTACTATTCTTTTTATTAATGAGCACTAATATCATATAAATTGAGTGTGATTCTGTCGTATAACTTGTTTGCCTAATCAATAAAACGTGTCAGATGAAGAAAAAGCAATGCAAATCGGACAATTTGATTAGAGCAGAATGATCAGCTGAGAAAACAGACCGGTGGATAGGCCATGATGTCGAACTGACAACGACGTCAAATAGGCCGAATGCCACGATATGAAACTGGCATGCGTGCTGGAAAGATCTGAGTTCATGTCGTATGTGTCACTTCGTAAGACATTGCTGTACTCCTTCCAACCTTTTTCTGTATATTATGTAATGCATATAGAGGGCAGACATTGTTTATCACAGATTTGCTTGTTGAAATGTATAGGCTGAGTAAATTGACTGATCACTTACAGTAGACTGAATATGCTTGAAGATGTAATTTGATGAGTGGGATGAAAAAGACGATGCTTAGAAGGAAGGCTGATTTGAGGATTGCGAACAAGTTCTGCAGCTACAGTCAAAATTGCAATCACCCAACTTGTTTATTACCTTTATTTTTATTTGTTTTAAAGGGGGTGGCTTTTTGGAGTACGGGGATAGGACTGGACGTTGTCTCCCTTGGATGTACAAATCTTGTCCAATTCACGAAGGTGTAATTCATAAATCAACATTTTAACATCGTAATGCCCATTCGCTGCTGTTCTCATCCAAAAATGACGGTCAGCTTCCAACATCGAAACAGAATGTAATCCCACAGATGAAATTTATATTCTAAAAAGGGGCAACTGTGATTTGGCGTGACGTTATCGCTTAACTCGATGATTATCTGAATTACGTTTGCATCAATTCCGCACAGTGCACAAGACAGACCACGTGATGGATTGCCCATTATCGTTCTCAAACAGAATCAGGCGGAATAAGAGCGCGTAAATAGGGAAGGAGTTTGTGCTATCATTGGCTGCATTTATCTCCAACTTTAAATCAAATCTAAGAGCATTTGACACGGGGGAGGTAGGCATCCACACAAAATCCAGAGTGCCAATTATTGCCGGTATTCTTTGCACAGAACCGCTCTGTCTTCGCACGCAGTCTGTCAAACACAATAGTGACATTTTTGTATTTGCCTCGCACCAAATTGGATCAAGATATTGTGGTTGAGCGCAGATGTAATCTGCATTCTTTCTACCGAAAATCCCCATGAACGTCGTGGGGGAGGTACCTTGTTTCCCAGTAGTGAGCAACTTTATTGAGTTGAAGTATTTTTCCTATTCTTTGTCCGTCTATGAGAAGTAATTGAGTATACCAGTGACTTCCCAAAGTAAAGGGTGCAGTCCACGAAGCGAGAATTCTTGGCCAGCTCATAAACAATTAAAAGTACCCTCACAGATTTTTTTTTTTTTAGGAAAATTGTTTGGCTCCCAAATTGATGAGATTGTGTATTATAATCTTCGCCAGTATCAACTTCCCGGCTCTTTTGGCTTTAATATGAGAACAGAATGGTTTACAAAATACGGTTGACAAATGGTCCTAAGTACCTGAGAAAGTGGAGGGTTGAGACTTGAAAAATGGCTGCAATCAGACTTCGGAAAAATCAGTTCTTTTCGGGGGGATTTTGGTTTGTGGGTTTGTGGGAATTATTAAAAATGTGATCGGTTAACCCACAAATACATTGAAAAGAAATGGGAAGATCAGAGACCAAACAATAATAGAATTTGTGTTTCAGAAACCTGAGGGATGTTGGTACGCAAGTTATTGGGCCCTGAACAGTGCTTACATTGTTTTCAATGGGGTTTGAATCAGTGGACTATACCCATAGCCATGTGATCTGCAGCCCTTCAGAGAACGGACGCAGGAGCCAGTTCTGGATATCAGCCACTTTGGAAGGAGATCCGTGTTCCGGAAACCCGAATGAAAAATCAAATTTTGTGACAAGTTACCCCCATTAATTGCATCAATCCGTCCATTTCACCATCATTATACGAGATAACTCTGCATTCTTTACAGTTTGCGTTTCCAAGTCACAAATCAGTACGTGTCTGGTTTCGCAACTGTGACGTTTTCTCGATTTCTCAAGAGAGATCGTATCTCTTGTTGTTGAAGACATGTCAACTTTAATTGGAAAGAAAATCATCGTACATGGCGCCCTCTTCGGCACTGTTATAAGACAGTGATTCAGATAACAATCGACTTGGCACGAACCAACAATCCAAACAAGATTGGAATATCAGGCGCTGATTTGTATCACTTTCGCAAGCCTAGTAATTGGATTCTGAAAAATGCCAATATTTTCCTTTGCAAACTCATCGCGTGGTCTACCGTGAAAACAGACTTATCTGATTCTTGAGGTTACACTTCATTTTCTCCTAACTCTTCCCTGATTCATCAATTTCCCCGACTAAAACTGTTCGCCATGAAATCGTTTTCTGTGTGCATTTATTTGCGAGTTATTACAGCATGCATTGCCTTTGTATATGTGACCCACTCTGCAAAAAAGGCCTCTGTATGTTACAAACCATTCCGTACACCTGTCAGAGATCCATTCTAAATTTGATTGTATCTCGGGAATAGAATGTGTGACAGATGTCAAAAATACACAAATTTAATCCTTGTTAAAATGCCTCTCTATTAATGGGCATCACTTAAAATCAATTTGTCGCACATAAGCCCAAGGGCTATTTTTTAAAATATTTTTTTCCTGCGCTTGTGTTGAAGAGACGTAGGCCTACGCCTTTACGTTTGTCCTAAGAATATTTGAAATATGGTTATAATATGAATTTCTCTTGAACGATCAATTTGGCCGACGTGAATCGCCAAGTTTTATCAAGATTACTTCAACTGCGACCTAACGCTAGGTGGCGTATTCTTGCCACGACACGCCTGTACGCAATTGAAAAACTATACCGGTGACAAATTTGTTCCCAATGCAAAATTTTCCAGCTAAATTGGCCAATTTTGTTCCGCCAACGAATTGGACAAAAGGTTTTCTCCTAGACTTCGGCAAGGGTCAAAGAGAACGTGTGTTGCTTCCCGATGGATCCATAATTCTTGGATATTTTGAGGATGATGGAATGAAAACAAATCTGTGGTGGACAGTGCAGAATGTGAGTCAGAAACTACATGAAATACAATAAGAATATAGAGTTCCAGTACATTTTGTTTGAAGATGAAAATCATGAAGTGTTATAGACACAATCACAGCCCAAACTGGCACTCAGCTCTTAGCCGTAAGTACAATAAATATTTACATATCCACCTCCTTACACTACATGCTATTATAAAACTCAAACCTTAAGGCGTATCTTAAGAGCATTCTTGTCCAAGTCCTTTGTGAATAGACCTTGTGCTTAGTTCGTTTTCACGCACATGTCTCTTGATAACCATCAACAAATGTGAGCCTAAGCATCGGATCAGAATGACAGTCAACACTATTAATCCAGCGAAACTTCCCAGAGCGCCATCACAGTGTAGACATAAGCAGAGCTGTTGTTGTGTAACTATAACAGCATGATGTTGTTTCTGCACAGGGTGATATGGGCCATCATCCTACTGTCTTTTATGGGAGTTCTCATCTTTGTTGTCATTGACAACACAGTTCGTTACTTTAATTACAACGTGACCAGCATCGTGACGGTGAAATACGTCAATGACCTTACCTTCCCCGCGGTTACAATTTGTAACTACAATCTGCTGAGGAAATCCTACTCCGAGCAGGCCTTTGATGAGGATCTGTTGGAAGCGTTCAAGATTATCTCTCCCGGAGGAGGACAAAACTCCGTCAACTTCACAGCCTTGAAAGACTGGAACATCACGGACGATTTGATTAAAGGGGCACACCAGAAGGAGGATATGATCATCGAATGCACCTGGCGATCGACTAGGAACTGTACAGCGGACAATTTCACCCAGGTTCTGACTGACTTTGGGGTGTGTTACACCTTTAATAACCCTAAGGATCCAAACGACGCATTGACGGTTCAGCAAACAGGTTATGATAGTGGTCTTTATCTACGATTGAACCTGGAGCAGTATGATTACTTCTACGGATCTAGTAAGGGTGCCGGATTCAAGGTAAAAAGTCCATATCCCCACACCCGCTACCGGTCTAGCATATTTTATAAATATTCACTGTTTTCTAAATGGCACAGTTGTCTTTGCTAAGCATTATGCTACCAGGTCTCAGACAACGCAAACAAGAACATCTGAGATAATACGTTTTAGACATAGGCATTACTTTTGTTAGTACCGCGGTGAAATATGGTATGGATATCCCATTCACAAATTATACTGTATTTATGTCAAGTTGAAGTTGTCTTGGAATTCTTTTGCTTTCAATTTCAGATCATGCTTCATAAACAAGGAGAGTTTCCTTTCGTCAAGCAGCTTGGCTTTGCTGTCTCCCCTGGATTTGAAACCCTGGTCACTCTGAAATTTACCCAGGTAGGGCCTATAACTTTAGCTGATGTTCCAGTGATTTCATTATGTCGCTGGTTTATGCCTGTTCGATACTCTGTGTTTTCTCTGCATCATATACACAAATAGAAAAGAAATGACACACGTCATTTTCGTAATGACAGGTTACAAAATCTTAATCCTCATAAATCACGACGCCACAAAATGGTCTAAAATGTGTGAGTAAATAAAAAGGTGAAGTGACATGTTGGCTGGAAGACAAGCAACACTATTATAAAATCCATGATGGGCAAACATATAACCACAGAGTTCCTGTACCCGACGGTTCCCATCATAAGTATGATTCACCGCAGGTTGATCATGATATTTCAATAGCATGTAGTAAAGACTGCGAAAATCGTGACTATTCATAATTAAATATTTTGACACTTTTCCTCGCTGCAAGAAACCCTGCATTGAAGTTGCTGAGTTATAGTGCATGCTAACTCCATTGTATTCACGTCAACAATTTTATTTATGAATTGCAAATGCTTGTCCAAAATGTATTAAAGTACTATAAATACATGTGAGGGCAAATGTTAACTTTTGTTGGCTCTTTTTTTCCCGTCGAAACTACTTTTTTTTTTACTTTCTTCTTTGTAGTTGGTGAATTTAGAGACTCCGTATGTCTCAGAGTGTGTTGTTGCAGAGGATATCCAAGGCTTCAAGTACACGGTAGAAACCTGCCAGGCATTGTGTAAGACCAAGTATATTTTGGAGGGTTGTGGTTGCAGGACGACTGACCTACCAGCTGGACCAGGTTAGCCCTTGAATCTCTACAAGTCCTCCTCAGAATTACAATCATTTCTCATTTTCCCCGTTTTTTTGAATGACCCAATCTGATATGGAAGAGGAAGTTTTCACGATATTGGCATTAATTCTCAATTAAAGTGATTCTTTTTGTCATTTCAGACATATCGAAAGTAAGGTTTTGCAGCTATGGTGAGATAGTACAATGTGTTCAACCGGCAATGCGTAAGTGTGAGTTCTGTTTCAATAATTCCCGAGTGCTTTACCCGTAGATATGATTCATAGCCTTTTCCTACCCCCGTTTTTCCTGATTTTGCCTTTCCTGATTTTGCCTTTCCTGTGCAAGACCAGTACTGGTACCCTCACGTCTAACCCTGAAATTATATTTTCGGCAAAAAGGCAAGGAAAGTGTTACCCTTCACCATATTTCTGAACAATTTTGACATCCTAAGTGTGGTTGCGTTGTTTTTAAGATTTTGTTTCAAGTTTTTGTGACCAGCGCATTTCACCAGATTTTAATTGGATGGAAACATGGATACGAAATCAACATTTCAATAAGTAGCTTCATGCAAGCCATAAATTCATAGATACCAGTAAGCCTAATGAATCTTCTGATTGAGACGTTAACACCTGCAGTAGGCCAGCGCCTCTCCCTCGCTTGGTATAGTAATTCTTTTGGTATTAATGTGCGGTTGCATTTTTACAAGTCCGACAAATTATTTAGTGACTATGGCAACTTGGAGCAGCGCGCGAGAAAGTGATTGTTACTTTGGCTCATTAGCATTTCCGTACAGCACCTGTCCAAACAAACTTTCATAATCGAGCTCCATTTACCGACAGTTAGCAACAAAATGCTCTTTTGCTGAATTAGGTGTGATTTTTTTTTCTTGGAACATACATCAGTAATTATCACGCAGCGTCTGCGGTACCGAGGAGACAGTCCCCTGCTTGTGCTGAACGGCGCCCTCTCAGTCGGGAAGTTATTAAACAGAGTCGTGCAATTTTAGAATAATGCTCATGAGCTGTCAACATGCGACTCATATACTTCATTTTCAGTTTGGTTGTTTTTGTGTGTGTGTGTTTGTGTTAGGCAACTTAACTGCTTTGAAAAAATGCAATATGTCTATAAGAAATGAACTCAGTCGTGTTGCTTTGTGTATTTTTGAAGATAGTATCGGAATCACTACAACAGTGTGGAATATTAGTCTTGTCTATTGATCATTCTGGAAAGAGAAGCACAAAGCCCGACCAGAGATTGAACCAATCATACAGATTGTTTGTTGTGACTTGGTATTCCAGGGGCCTTCATGGCTGACCTCGATGCTCGATGTAACTGCAGCGTACCGTGTTTTCGCGAAGTCTTTACACCCAGAATCTCGGAGGTTTTCTGGCCAGCTGAACACATCACTAAGGCGTTACAGGATGCCTTCAACAGTAGCGAAAGCTTCCTCAGGTATGGTGTTTTCCAGATGTCGGACTTGGCTCTCTTGAGGATCACTTGATTGAATTGGGTCAGACTTTGGTGTTACTAGAGGGCTTGCATGGCTGCCATCTTGCAGGCCAATGCTTTTGATCCACAGGGTATGCAAAAAGGAGGTTTCCCTTTGGAACAAAAGAACAGCCTTGTTAGATGGCTACCATGCAAAGCCACTGTTAGGTCAAATTCAAATGATGGCCTAGTACCGGTAGTGACGGGGTCGCTGTTCAACAGTGTTGGATGTCGGTCTTTGTTTTATTGTTTTATGGACTTCATTTTGAAATCTATCACGGAACTTTCAAGCTTGTTCTGTTCTGAGACCAAAACATGGACGGACATGATAAAGCATACCCTTAAATACCACTTGTAAGGGATGAATCGTGCTACTTGAAAATTCTTAACTACACATTCTAAGGAGTCAAGTTCGATCGACTAAGATGCACTCAAGCAATGCATTCATACAAAGAGACACATAAGCTGAAACCAATTATGGTTATCACTCAGTATGCAAAAGAATTTATATTTGCTGTAATGATTGTTGTTGGTTTAAGTTGGCACATTTCATTCTTTAAACTGAGCAGCCAAATTAAAGTTGGTGCATTTTGCTTCATATCATGTGTACGGTTGAAATTGCATGTAATACATTGCATGCCCATTTGCTGGTCATAATCCTTCATGCGGCCGTGTTTCTCTGTATATCTGGTAGAGTTAGATTCAAAGCATTGCTTCAGTGTTAATGCCAGTAATTCGTTTATGGAAAGCACGATACCCGAGGAATCCTTAGTTCTTGTTCAAGGTCTTCATGTACATGCCAGATTTCCATCTTGAGTACTTGCTCCGTCCGGTTTTTATTTCATATCCAGCTAAGACCGCTAGAAAACAGTAAGTGCTGCTTTTATTTGTTTATGCGACGGGGTGACAACGTTTTCATTAATCTGGTACAAGAGGGCGCATGAAAAATGCTTTACCAATTTGCTTAGGCCTATTGCTAATATTTTTAGAAAGATTCGGCGAAGATCGAAACGTCAGGCCGTCCTTATTTTGTGACTAATATTATTCGAAAGTTTTTTTTTAACATCCTTGCATGAATGGAATTTCGAAAACTATCTTGTTTGTATCTGTTTTATCGATTCTCGGTTCTTACATGACCAACAAAAGGTGTGCTTTGGAAGTAGCATTGCGTTTACAGTGCATGAAAATTAGCTGCAGTTGAAGCTCAAGTTGTAGAGAGGACGAAACATGTACGAAAATTTGTGGCATTTTCTTCACGTGGAATTTAAGTCATTCTCGCTTTACCTTTTCATTATAAACTGGAAGGTATGTTTTAATACCGTGGATGAAATATGCTAAGAATGAAGCCATGACGCCAACGTATAATAAGAACAAGTTTTGTTTCTGTGCTTATGTGTTTTCCTGACAGGAAAAATATAATCGATATGGTGATATTTTTCGAGGAACTGAACTACGAGGAAATCCGACAAATTGCCGCGTATACATTCACTGATTTGTTGAGTAAGTTCACTCCATGATTAGCTTGTTTTTTTCTGTGTGAATAATATTTATGTTAACCATACTGCTCAAGCACAATACACTTCACGATATCAAATCACCAATAATCTAAATGTACGCTCGAACGCCGCCCATGAATTAGATTTATCATGGGTCCCATTCACTGTACAACGGTACAATAATATTGCATTTCTTTATTTCGAACGCACCAAGTTGTTTTTGATTTGATTGTTATTTGTCTATGTTTTGTTTGTATTTTGTTGTCTTGTCTACCTGTCCTCCTCCCAGCCCTTTCTGGGACCACACCTTCCCCACGCTGTTCTGACTTGTCTGTATTACTTTGACTTGCAGGTGATATTGGTGGCTACATGGGTCTGATGGTGGGCGCAAGCTTGATCACTTTCCTGGAGTTCATTGACTTCTTGGTCTTAGGAGCCATCGAATACTGCCAAAAACACAACATGTTTAAACGACGGGGAAAAATAAATATCAGTCAAAGTCACCTTCATCGTTGAACCAGACACAAAAGTTGTAAATAAGAGATATGTATTGGGTTGATATTGGGGAAGTACCTCAGTTGTAGTCTTGTAGTTTCGATCCCTCTTTCTACGAATATTACTGTTTACCGTCCCCCCCCCCGCCTAGACGGAGGTAGCCTTGTACAATCTTGTCATTTATAAGGATGGGTGTTGATTCGCAGGCTTCCCGACATGCCCAATGTAAGCTGTGAGACGGATGTAAGAGATTTACAATCTAGTTATTCTTCCCACCTGCTGTGTGTTGGTGGGAAGGGATAACCCGAGGTAGTACCCCTTTCTGTCATTTATACATGATGTCATTGTCAAGTAGCTAATACAGAATTTGTAAACATGACTTGTATCTGTGGATTTTATTGCAACGCTACCGTGGTTTGAATCGATTATATTAGATTTATTAGGGTCTCAAATGTAAGGTAACACAACAATATTAAAATGTTCATTTAAACGCTCCTATAACCACTAATTTGAGTGGTATGTTGCTATAGGTAATTTGCCTGCGCAAGTTGAATAAATTTAAATGAGGGAAAAGTGCATGTACGGCTAACAACAATGATTTCCTTTTATTTTGGATAGACAGAGAATCAAAATAAAGCATAAAAATGAAAGACGATAATGACCGAGGTACAAGTTTTTTTTTCATTCAGTTGAGACCTCCGTAAAGCAAAATTGTACAAAAGGATGATAACTGATGATAATCATATGTAGCAAATGACCTTTCCTGTGATTTCAAATAAATGTAAATTAGGTTTAATATATTCTCATATTTAAATATTGCGTTAGTCAGTAATTACGACTGAATTGGACATTCTCATTTCCGGTCTGACAACCATTCCATTAAATTCCAAGGTTAACTCTCATCGAAGTGAAAGTTTATTTTGTTGCGTTTAATGCCCGTTCTCGATACACTTAATGATGTTCCTGACCTCATTCTGTTGTTATAGGTTTACCTTGAGCATATCTCCCTGAAAGTTTCTCTCCAAATTTTCCCTTAACCTTTGCAGTTAAGTCTCAATAATCCAACAGGTGAAGGACTGAAGACTGCTCAGGCTAATGATCTACGTGAGTTTCTTTCTCGGAAGCCGGGATCTAAGTAGTAATTCTTCATCATCTTAAAGCTAGTGATAATATGAAGTAGCTGTAAATCTCGCAATAGTTGGAGGTTGTCAAACGGGTTGTTTCTCCTCATAGTTGCCAACAATCAGTCCGGTTTCAATTATTAGTTAATATATGCATGTTTACAAATTTTATCCATAATGCAAGTATATACATGTATTTTGTCATCGAGATGATCTTGGTTTTGCTTGATGAATTTTAAGTTGACCTGATATTCGTAATGCTTAGAAACTTTTATCCGCAATACACGTATTGTTTCATTAATGGCCTTGGGCTTGCTTTCCGGCAGCGAGAAGCGCGTTGTGAGTTAATAGTTTTTATTTTCAGCGCAGCGAATGTCTAAACCAAGTAAAGTTTAGTTGAATCGGCTGAAGTCGCTCTCATTTGCGAGTTAAATTTGAATAAAGTCTGTAATACTGAGTTCTTTAAATTCACGTGAACAAAACAACTTGAATTTTTCATACTAAAATCACTGTTGCTATACCTCGTGATTCAGGGCAAGCTTTCGCATAGTTGCCAAAGAGATGCCTTGCAACAATACATTGTTCTCAATGGATAAGAACGGCAAGAAGTTACCAGTCCATCCCAGAGATGGAGGTCGCTATGCAAAAGCTTGCCACGAATCAGTGTGTTTAGTCTGGGGAATTCAGATTGTTACGTTTCTGTGCATTCAGAAAACAGAGTGTACCAGTTATTATTCAAATTTAACTCGCAAGTGGCTTATTCGGGTTTGGCGCGGCGGGACTCAGTATAATATCATCCAGGTGTTGCAAATCCTTTCACCCTCTAGATGCATATTCATATGCGTCAAAGATCACGTGATTATGTTATGCACGCCTTACTGCACTGAAGGCTTTCATACCCTGGGCTAATCAAGCTCATATCGCAGGAGGCTCAACCATCAAGCTCAGCTGCTGCACGGTGAAGCAAGAGCTCCAGAAACCCCGAGTTCTCGACTGATATAGTCAACCCTTGGTAAGTTTAGGGACCACTCATAAAAGACCAGGGAGGTATATAGTAGGAAAAGAAGACCATCCTATCTTTAAAAGTGCGTTGGTGACCATATCGGTTCGGAGGTTTCCGTGTTTAATGTAACGGTCACCAACTGCCAAAAACTCCGTTTATGCTGGACCTAAGCATCAGAGTAACTGGAGTGATTATTTTGCCTTTCCTTCTTTAATTTCGGGGGAGGCATAGGCCTCGAGCGAGGGGCCCTTCTCCGTCCCCATGCATATACGCCAAATTTATGGTCGGTATGCATCAGTGGTTGACATAGTCGATAAGTATTGTGCCTCGGGAAATTACAGCTCCACCTTCTGACCGACTGACACCACTTCCCTCCGCTATTCTCCATTGTACGAGAGAACAAAAGTTTTTACTAATGCTTTGAGCCATAAGATAAATTCCATCATTTGTCCAGCGTTGGCTAGCTATGTACCGCTGCATGTACATTAGATTTACTCCTGGCCAACTTTGTTAATTGGGCAACTTTTCGGTGGGTGCACAACTGTTACATTCACATGCACAGCGCATGCTTACGAGGTTGCACACAAAGACGCAGTCCTTCATCAGTGGTTCATAGGACGCACAAGTTTAGTTACCTCACTAGTCCAAATGAATTTAGATGCTGCGAAAATATACTAAATTAAGGTTTTCAAATGCTATCGATGCGACTGTGCGGAGTTGGCGACTTTTTACACCATCACCAAGCAAGTTTTTTGAGCGGCTGATGTGGGAACCACAGTTTACTATCTCTTTAAATGGAGACCACGTTGATAACCTTGTAATTACATACATTTGTCATCGAAATCCCGCGGTCACCGTAGGAAATTCTTTCGTTGAGAAATTGCTTGCAGTTGGAATATCATCTGGGAAGTATCATTTATAAATTTCTAAATGATTGATCTGTCCTGTAAAACTATAAATGGTTGTCATTGTTAATGTATTGTAAACCTTGTCTAACAGATAGTAAATTGGCTAAATGTGGATTTTAAAAAGAAAAACACAAACGCCAACATTACAAACTATACGTGACGATTAACATATATATTTAAATAAGTTAAATGAAGAAAATGCTGAAATTAAATGGAATGGGTACGTAAAACAAATGACCAAGACACATCAAAAACACAAGTGCGCTATAATTATTAAGGAGTGTTTAATTTAAATTGAAAATTTGTAATCACTGCACAAAATATTATATTAGAAAGTCAACCCGTAGAACATTTCATTTTCCCGCGGTCTTTTGCACCGCAGAAATTATATGTATATTACTTTCATTCACGTAATAAGACATTAGGGAAAATAGCAGTAAAAACCTTACACGTGTAAACGTATGTTGATGTGCTTCTGACCGAGTAATTCTCAGGCAGACAACTATAACTCGCCATTTCGTATCCGCGGAAAATCGAGCTAAATTTTGTATGGAGAGTCAATGGGGCTGGAAAATACGTAAATTGACATTGGAATGGGCATCTTTACCAGTTGTATAGCTGTTGCTGCTGCAATTAATTGATTGGATTGCCACTCTTTTGAGTCAGGCTGGCATGATTATTATTGAAGTCGAACATTTTTGTCTATCTGTGTTTCAGCCAATTTAGTGGCCATACGAGGTCCACTAAATAAAATGAAGTCCAGTAACCCCAAATATGTACGTCCTTTTCCCTGTTACTGACAGCTGAAACTATTTCGTTGTCTGTGCTGGTATCCCGTTCTCCTTCCTCGCTTCAATTAAGCCTTCAGTGAGTTAATCGTCACGTGATTGCGCTAAAGTGTCCTAGGCTCAGAGAAACAAAATCGAAGGGGGGGGGAACAATGGCTGCAGTGCAAGGACTTGTCATCCCTCAGGGTTACAATGTTATCAATCTTAGTTAATTTTCTGTATTTGTCGGTGACTTCTTTTCTCTTCGTTTTGGCAGTAATACAGGCATATCGGGTTGTAGGTCGTTTTAAAGTGTAAACTGTTTATTTTTGCATGACCGGAAGTATAGCAAGAATCTTGAAACAATAAAGGAAAACTTTGAGTATGAATAGACAATTAATGTACATTGATTTATGAAATTACATAGTTCGTCAATTTTGTCGAATTTGGGCCCATATCTGTAACAGTCCAAAATCAAGCTAATTTCACTATGATTTTACATACTGCACCCTATTCTATTTTCTGATACTTTTTGGTCGCTGAGAAAGGTAAATAAATCATTAATGTATTCGTTTGCCGGTTATAATTATGGAGATCCAGGGCTTGTTTGTCTCACACGAATCCGGATCTCGATCAGTGATCCCAATACTGGTTCGCTCCATCCATTTGGCGGATTTGGGTGTCGGTGAAACATCAACGACGGATCACTGGTCGAGATAAAGTCAAGAACTTTCCGCTTTGATCGTTTCTCTACAACTAATTAAATAAATCTGGACCCAAATTAGAAATGACAACTCATATTCACTGTTTAACTCACTTTAAAAGTAACATTTGGTAGCGTTTAGTTCCCCCCTTTTCCTTTGCGATATCGCGGAATTCGGTATTGATTTCCTCCGGCTCCGCACCGCGGAGATCACACGGTTGCCCGTTCCTACATAGTGCGCAGACGTCTCACGGATTATGAATAAATCAATAGGGACGGGGACCACTCCAAAATCACAGTGGCATGGTGCGTGTAGGTCCTACATATATCGTTATGCCAAAGATGGGCTACCTGTAGATGTATGGTAAATGTAGGCATACTGTCTTGTACATATGAACTTGTACAGTCACGAACAGGTTTTGTACACGATATTTAGAAAGCAGAATTTGACTTTCAGAAAGCAGACAATTCTTGACTTAAGATCGAGATTCCTATCCATGTGAAACAAACGGGTCCGCTATCACGCAATCCTTTCGTTTATACGGGCACCCTCTTGCACAAGGTGGTCTGGATGCCTTGAATAGAAAAATCTCACTATCTGTCGGTTTTGTGTACAGCGTCTATCTGTACTGTCCGCGAACCCAGGCAAAATTTCAAATTGCGCAAAGGGAGAGGTCGAGATGTCTGACTATAGCTCTGTCCGGTCTGATCCGAGTCAGACCATGATGAGTCAATGGCTTAAAAAAAAGCCCAAGTACATGTACGCCTGCACAATTCTAAACGCATAACAAAAGTTAACATCACAGAGATTCGACATAAAAACTTTGGACTCCAGCTTTTCTGTCAGATACAACAATGACCTTTACATGGCAATTTCAGCAAAGCGGCTCTCGGCTACTTCATTGCCAGTGAACTTTGCCTTAGAAACCTGCTTGAACATTGGTGTTGGATCCACATGTAATTTTTCAAAAGAAAAAAAGCAGCAACTTGCGTGCGAAGAGCAACAATGGTGTTTACATGACAAATGAAGCGGGGCTGCTTTCAAACAGTTTCTCCATTGTGAGTGAACTTTGCATGCCCCCAAAACTTGATCATTCTGCTTGAGCATTGCTGTTGGATCCACATTACATGTATATACCCATACGTGCTTGACTTTAAAAAATGACACAATTGTGACGTCACAAACTTGAACACAAACCGTATCTACTTAAAATGAAGGTTTATAATTTACTCTGTCACTTGATGTAAAGAACATGGGATCGCACTATTGATTTTGTATTGATTTTCCAAGATTTAAAAATGACAATTGAATCATTTGTACTTTGATTCCCGATGACGTCACCATGACGTCATTATTATAAGACCATCTTTGCATCTAAAGTTTGGATATGTGTCGCTTTGATGAAGATTCAGTACTTGCTAAACGACCAAGAAAGCCTCTTGAATCTGTATAAAACCAGTGGAAAAAAGAATTATTTAAAAATCATAACGTCATTGTTTTAGGACCATCTCTGTGTTAAATTCTTTCTTTGAAACTTCTGTGATGATCCATGATTATCAAGTGACCAAACAGGCCTTTTGAAAAGTGTGTACAAAGTAAGTGGGAAAAAAATCTTCCAATTTCTTTTTTCAGCAATTGAACCGCAGAAACCCCCCCCCCAAAAAAAACTGGCGCCAAATATTCTGTGCAAGGCCAACAATGGGGTTTACAGAGCGTATGAAGTGGAATGGCTTGCAATCAGTGACTTCATTGTCAGTGACCGTTGTCACAGAAACCTACCTTTTCACCGTGTCTGGAATTGGTGCCGCATATCCAACAGGAAGAAAGGAGGGGCAAACAATCCTAATCATAACGGGAGCAACATTTTACAACTATGGCAATTGATATACATGTACAAGAGGCACAGTCTCAAATTTCTGTAGGAAAAAAAAGAGTCATCGCACAGACAGTTTTTTGTACGGTATGCTTGGTGAAACATTTATGGCTAAGTTTTACGGACTTATTGCCGATCATTGTCATGGCAGTTGTTGGTATTCAGGCCGTTGGAAAACTAAAATATGAATCAGTATCTAACTAAATTAAATTAGCCATCTATTAACATTTGACCATCAACAGTTTGGTTGGGACAAGTCTTGGCCCAAGACGTCGGTGGTCGAAAACGAATCGCCGCTTGTGCGCGAATTTTTGTAATAGGGACGCGCTCTAGCGCACCAGTAGACTAACCTGACCAGCTCGCACTAACATGTTGGGAATTTTGTAGCACTGGCTTATTGTTTTTCCTCCAGCTGTTCCAGGGAAACAATCACCAACTAGCTTCATTTGAGCCATTAATGAATTATGCATTTACGTTCATGACCGAGAACTAAAAATAAAAATGGTCGCTTCAGCACTGCCAATTCGGTCAGTATCGCCCTCCTGGATTTTTTAAGGTAAATGTTAAAGAAATAGCTCAATATGGAAATTTGTGGTAAAAAAACATCTATTGAAGTATCTTAAAGGCATGTTACAATCAACTTAGCGCAGCTATTTATGCGGAAATTTTGGACCTCGAGATTGGGATGCCATTATTTTTTGTTTTCAATTCTCGGTCGAGTGACGTCATGAACCTAGATATGCATAATTCATTATAAGGCTCAAACGAAGCTAGCTGTTGATTGGTTCTCCAGGAAAAGCTGGGGGAAAAAACAAAGAAAAACATAAGCTAGTACTACAAAAAGACGTTACTAGTGTGAGCTGGTCAGGTTAGTCTGCTGCTGCGCTAGAGGGCGTCCCAATTTACAAAACAAAAAATCGCGTGCAAGTGGCGATCCGCATTCGAACACTGACGTCTTAGCCAAGACTAAGTTGGGACTAGAAGTCCAGAGAATGGTAGAATTAAAATGACGTCATCATAACGCTTTGTTATTTAAATATTGAGTAGGGGCCTATCTTTTTCGCGACATCGTATTGCTACAATACGGGCGATTCACTATTAAGCGTCTTCAAGAGCTTGAAATGCGTTGACCAATCACAACGCGCGAAATCTGTCGATCCAATGTGCGTTTGGAAAGGGTCGACAGATTTCGCGCATTGTGATTGGCCAACGGGTTGCAAACTGTTGGAGGTGCGCTATAGTGAATCGCCCGTACTACACGTCTGGTAGATTGAAATTAGAACACAAGTTCATAGGCAGAGATGTGTTGCATTTAGCATAAACAATTATTATGATTTATGTTGATTAAGCCCGGTGTCACGTAGTACTCTGACGTTAAAAATGGCTTTTGTTGTGCCAATATTTCCTAAACCCGGTTAGATTGCAAGAAATCCCTTTAATGAGCAGGGATGTATTGGTTGGTTATATATTATATTTAATGGAGGTAACATTTTAAAAATTTTGCCGTGATTTCATGTTTAAACTACTTTAAAGATCTTCCCATTTATCTTGACTATAGCGTGCAAATGATCAGACATGACAGGTGCAGTTGGCCTTTAAAAAGAGCATCTCTCCCACGACCAAGCATACTGTCAATTTACTTTGAAGTAATTTACCTCTTTGACAATGTAGCGCTTTGCAAGCATGAAACTTCGTCGACCAGTGAAGTTAGTGCACTTTCTCGTCAGTTTACACGTCGGTGGATGTTCAAAATCCATTTTCGTTTGACCAATCATTATGCCCGGGTATAGCGGAAATCAAAGTTAAAAAAACGGGGAGTTGTACAACTAGAAATCGTAGTTTTTGTTGGCGAAAATCCTCTCACTGTGCAGCTTGAAAAAGTAGCTGTAAAAAAATGATTGGCCAAGCAGGCATAAAACGGTGTGGTTTGGGAGGTGATAGTGAGAACGTAACATTTTGCGATAAGAAATTCCGTTTTCCCAAATATAATTTTAACTTCCAACTGACCCAGTTTCTCGGTTGCAACGAATTTATAGCTTACACGCATAATTATTGTATTATTCTCGAGGCTGTATAGTGGCTACCTCGCAGACACTTAAGACTTCTGTCGCTTTGAAATGGGATCCTTGTGGTGGGGTCTAGGGTAGAAGTATTACAGTCTACGGCGCCCTGCCTACCCAAACAATCACTACATATGCAGATTTCCCATGCGCCTATTTATTAGTCCCTGAAGATTCGGTCATCCGTGGTGCACCCTGACCTCCCACAATGCAATGCAGTCTCGCCGCCATGACCGTCCTTCTTTTCAGCGCCGTAACGTAGCAGACGTGTCTCTGGGCATCTTCATTCATTTTCATTCATTATTTCTCAGGGAATCCAAACACAGCGTACAAAACCAAAAGAAACAACAGACTTACACTACGTTTGCTAACACCCCTGAAGGATAACTTAAATCAAACTCATTACTGTCGAGAGGGTCTCCTAAAATGTCAACAAATACGAAAATACTAAAATCACCGGGCCTACAAAGATTCGTACAGACAAAACTCTCAACTGAAGCAAGGGGGGTGGGCTGATACCATATGACACCACAGTGGCCATGTGGTCATCTCTAGTGCGTGCATTGATGTACAATCGAACATCAGAACGGCATTTATGGATTTTTCAGTGAATACATTTTAGCCCGTGTAAAAATTCACAATCCACTTTAATTTTTAACACCACGAAAAAGTGGGTGATGATTCAATAGCCCACCTCCAAGGGTGAAAAAATGGTGGGGATATACCCCCAACCCCGGAATTTTACGCCCATTGTCTTAGGTATATTTAATGATGTGACTTCAAGTTGAAAAACTTTCTCTTCGATTTCCTATCACCCGTACAGGTGTGGATTGTTAGGTGTACGGCGCCTCAACCTGCGCGCAAAAACTTGAAGTTGACTGTCGTCAGAAAACAGGTGTTTGATTTCTCAAGTTTTTCAGAATTTTCATTCAAAAATTCTGGATTTTGAAAAATCACTTCGTCTTTTCTATATTTTTGCACTTTGTCCAAACGCCCCAAGTTCAATATTTCCGTAAATCATAGGTAGAGCGAATGCATACAGTTAAAGTCCTGAAAAGTTACAGTTTTTATTGTTGGGCGACTTCAAGTTGTCATTTTGTCTTTAAGTTCCCTAGTGTACACATTTTGTAATCCATCTGTGTCGAAGTGATGGAATACAGAGACTCCAACTCTCTTCGTTAAAAACTCCGACAGCCCAAATTTTCTATGTTATGATACAATAAATAGCTCGTCCAACAAAAATGCATTTATTAAACAAAAGTATCATATTCACACAAAGGGAATTACCACCTCAACGGCCCATTTCTCTACATCCTGCAAGAAAACACCGAGCAGCCTGAACATGTCAAAACACTGTCATTTTGATTTACTGATGAACTTGGGTCAAGTTCATTGAAATTATGACTAGACGGTGTCATGGGGATAGACACACGCTGCAGGTCACCTGTTAATCGCTTGGGTCAATATTTCGTTGTATTAACCTACACCCACTGGAATTCTGAGAATAGGGCCTAGGCCTATGCACGGCCGGGATTGTCAACAACCGTCGTTTTAACTGAAGAAGTCACTCAGTGTTTTAGGTTCAGGGAACGATACGAACTTATGAAACACATACACACAGTTTTGTCATCTGTTAGAGTTTACTATCCGGTACATTCAAGTTGCAGTATCGTTTGAGGGTGAATTTATGTCCAACGGACTTTACACCTTAAACTCTTCAATTGTTTGTGTTAGCTAACAAGCAAAGTGTTCCACACAAGAAAGAATCGGAAAGATTGGATCTTGATTGCTAAAGGGAGTTCCCCTGTTTATATCACCTATTTCCCCAAGTTCATGGGTGATGGCAGTCGGGTAGATATAAAACTGTTCTGCATCCATTCATTTTACACTTCAATAAGTTGTTGAATTTTATCGTCCGTCGGTTATTATTATTGAATCTTTCCCTTAACGTGAGTGATTAATTTTTTTCAATCTGACCAGTGTAGTAACTAAAGTCTGAGCATGCACGTGCTAATTATAATTGGCACAAGTGTACTCCCGAAATCTTAATGTCCTAATAGACTTTTCATGACAAATTGAAACGGTATTTTTGTGCGAATTAGCATACTTAAAGCTGCAAATTAAAGTTTCCTGAGATTAGACACAGTCTAGAATGGTCGTGTGTGTAAGCAGTTACCTTGACCGAAGTATAGTCTCCACACCCACAGTGTACGTTGTATTGTACTCATGGCTATGTCCGGTTTCCATGAAACGGCCACTGAACGCCGGTACAGCAGCACCGTGACTGCAGTCAAAACTTGAGTTGACGTCATTGACAGGACCTTGTTTTTTCTTAAGGTGGCGCACAGTCCCATAATCCCAAAGTTCAATCAAGGGCAAACTGGGGCAAATATATAAAGCCAGGTTACTTTCGAGCATTTCATAAATGAGATAGCTCTACCTGAAGAGACGTTCGTTGTGGTTTCTGTAAAGAAGGTAAATTCATGCCTTGTTTCTTTTGTGGAAAATAGTTGAAGTTTTAATTTGGTTAATTATATCCGAAGAACACAACAAGCATAAAAATCAACACGTTTGGCCTGAAAGTTCACGTTTTGCTTTGGTGACGAGTTCTGTTCTTCACCTGAGTATGACAAGTGAACAAGTATTCTCGGAGGAAAACTTTCTCGCATAAATGTGTCTACCGTGGCTATCTGTCAATAACCGACTGAGTTAAAATTTATTTCGCTTGGCAGTTTTAATTGTGCCCGAAAATGAGACAATGAAGGTACCATGTTGGATGCCATTATACCTTTTATGATATTCAATAAATATTTGGGGATTTTTCCTTCTTGTTTTCGTCAAAGGTTTTGCATCTTGTTTGTATATGCAAGGAGTTTACTATCAAAGATGTTTGGTATATGCACAGCGCGGCTCTTATACGCCTGAATTGGTTTGTTTAAAAGATTTGGGCTTCTATTTTGGACATTCTCAGCAGCAACGGTCGTCAACAGTGCGCTTTGTCCACTGTGACTTAAGCATAAACCAGGGTTACATATAGTGGAGTAAGATTTCTATTGGACGAGGCGCCTACATGTTATATAATAACCAGTTCTTTATATATACTTTCTTGTAGTCTGCATTGTGGACGAGTTCACCGTCTTTGGACCACGTGAAGTTGATTACGTCATCAAAGTTCTCATCTTCTCATTGCTTTAGGTAAGTTATGAGTGTCATGACGAGTTAATTTGTTGTTGCGGTCTATGTAGAAAGCAGACTTCATACGCTTTCCACTGGGAAAGTCGAGAAACCTTTCAAATAAAGGATTTTACAAACCAAAATTGACAAATTATACACTTATCCAACTTAGTGATTTAGAATTCAAAATTCGTAAATATCTGTTGTCTTCTTAGAGGAAGGACATCATGCCTGCAGGAGACAAAGATTTGGAGGCTGCATCATCAACAAACAAGGCATTCACGGTAAGTCTTTGCCAAAGGATAGTCCTCAGGCCTTGGGTTGAAGTATTTCACTCGCCATTCTGTGCCAAGAGAAGGACAGGTGTCAAAATGCTTTTACTTCAGCAGATCAGTTTCCACTTGACTTGCGGCAGTTTGATTTGAGTCAACTACTGTTCAGACTTCATGTCAACAAGCCACCCCCCACAGGATGCCACTAATTTTCCCTGCAGTGACCTTATAAGCATGGCATGTCCTGAACAGTCACATTTAGAAGTGAAAATGTTGAAGTACTCACTCAGAAATTAACATTTTCAGACCAATCTCGTAGGGATTGGGCGCAAGCGATCAAGCGGCATCCGTGTATGGGTTTCTTTCCTCTCGAACTTCATTTCAAAACAAATGTGTTCGACTCTTTCAGAAAGGAGACATTTTGACGAAAATACATGTAACAATGCCGAGGAAAATACAGAAGAAGTTTTGTTTGCACTTGAGACACGCTTGCGGAAACCAATAATTACATTAATCCCTGTCATCCAATTACCAATCGGACTGGAAACTACTGTGTCATGTTATCCGTCACCGAATAAAATGCGAATCCAAATGAATCACTGCGTAGTGTATAAAACTATTTGAGGCTGTATTATCTTCAACAGGACACGAGATCTTACGAACTACATTTTGTAGGTCGTTCCGCTCATAGTTGTTTCAGAAAGCCTACATTCTTATTCGTGTAAGAGGTGCAGTTTCGTTTAGACATTCAAAATGATTCTCCAAAACGGCATTCAAATTAGACATTGCGCCATTTTAGTGGCGTAACATTTCAGTATGCAACACTGATGTTATAAAAATTCCGCCTGTTTATTCGTGCCCTCTTGCACATTCAAAATGATTAAATGCGTATGAAATGGACGAAAAGCAAAAGTAATGATTAAATCTGGGTGTACTTTTCATCTTTACTTTATTGTTTACTTTCTTCGTTGCTCTGTATTGCCTTTGACGTATTATGTACCAACCTCCTCAAATTCTAACAAAAGGCAAATCACATAATATACTGCATTAACATTATATTACAGAAAATATTATGCATATTTTGTCGTGAAGATATACGAATATATGTCTCGGATTTCGGTCCGGTGCGAAATGTAATTTCTGTTTTTGTTCCATGGCTTGGTCAAATTTGAGTGTTCCAGCATGTAATGTCAATTTATATTAAAATACATTCAGATATGTGGTATGTTTTCGATGACACGCGCCGCCGAAAAACTATCCGGAATGTTTGTCCTAGTCAGTGAACAGCGAACAGCAATCTTAATCTACATTCATGGTTGTGCTGAAAATAATTGCCTTTGTAACAAATTTGGATGATAGTTTGTTTAAAATGCATAGGAAACCCTGTTGTACCGTCATTTCATTTTCTGAGAACCATTTCTAATCCTTTTTCAAATTGAAAAATAGTAGCTACCGGCATACAGGCTTCGATTACAGCCTCAGTTTCTGAATATTTTGTTGTTTTGACTGATTTCCTTCTTAGCTTGATGGCGGGGCCGTAGTCAGTGCTGATGATATCCCTTTCCAGGACTCTAAGCACAGTGCACCCGCGGAGGGTGAAACAGGAAGAGGCAACTGGAGTAACAAAGTGGACTTCATGCTGTCTTGTATCGGCTTTGCTGTGGGTCTAGGAAATGTCTGGCGATTCCCCTATCTTTGCTACACCAACGGAGGAGGTAAGATGGAAGAATTTCTTCTGAAACATCAGAGGAAATAACACGCGGAATGTTGTAAGCCTGCCAAATGTTGACGGATTCCCAAACCCTTTATGAAAAATTGTCATTCCGTTATCACAGTAGGCCTAAATAAAATGATATTGAATTCTATGTAATCCGATAGTGTGGGCCAAATAACAGCAAAACAGCTCGACATTTCATAGTGGGAGACTTTGTTTTGAACTGTGGCGAATGATAGCGTGGTGTGTCGAACCGGATATTACAAATGTCAATGTCAAAGACCACCAGGGCTATGACTGCCGAGCACGATATAGGATCTGGTAGGTGCTGCCGAAGGGAGAAACCCAGAAAGATTTAAGGCTTTTGGGTTGGCTCAAAACGTTAAACTCCTGTATACTGGAGGTTTGGCGAGCTTCCGGATATAAAGGTGAAGGGGGTATCCCTGATGCATGTGATGAAGGGATCAAGCCGATCCCGATCCGAGTTGCTTCTGCGTTGCTAGGGGAAGGTCAAGTACTTGTTTGTTGATGGGTGGATCTAAAACACATTAAAGAATGAGAGGCAACGAATATCACTGCTTCAGGTGCTAAGAATGTGACCGTTACTTTATAGATTACAATTGGTGTGAGTCCTTGCCGATGTAGTTTCTCCCCCCTCATATTTAATGCATCAGACTTGGTCTTGTTAACCTGACAGGTGCCTTTCTGGTCCCGTACGTCATCATGCTTTTGGTAGCCGGTCTACCTATGTTTGTCATGGAGTTAGGTTTCGGTCAGTTTGCTAGTAGAGGTTGCATCACCATCTGGACCATCTCTCCAATCTTCAAAGGTAAAATCTAAGATACATGTATCCAGATTCAACTCTCATCCATCAATCCGTCCCAGCCAACTCACAAGAAATGAGTGATCAGCAGGCTCATAGTTCTTTGTATTTCTCCTGCAGGTTTGGGTTATGGCATGTGTATCGTCACGGCATTAGTGGCCATCTACTATAATGTGGTGATTTGCTACACACTCTTCTTCCTCTTCGCATCTTTCACCCGAGTCCTACCTTGGAGCGATTGCAATCGAGAGTGGAATACAGAGAACTGCGTAGTTAGCAAAGCCAATGGCACCAACGAAACCACTGTATATCTCAATACTTCCACTAGACCATCGCTGGAATTCTGGGAGTAAGATATTCCAAATTTAGGGATATTTCTCACTCAAGTTAGTTTTGCAAATCATATTTTATGCACAAACTCTTGATTGATGGTTTATCCCTGAACATTTTCCACGACAATCTTGACACCTTAAATGCAAAAACATCGAGTTCGTACCCACAATCCTACAACGTTGGACGTGTCCCGCACAATACACGCCAACTGATACATGACAGTTCAAGATTTCATTTGTTGATTTCCAAAGAAAGGTTTCTGTAAACGAATTATTTAATTTCGACCATGTTTGGCCCTTTTCAGCCGGTATGTTCTGGATCGTAGTGAGGGTCTGGAGGACTTGGGTGAGATCCGATGGCAGGTGGCGCTGTGTTTATTGCTGGCTTGGATTGTCGTGTTTTTCTGCATCGTACGAGGAGTCAAATCATCAGGAAAGGTCAGCCTATGTGGAGATACACATGCTTTGAACGTGAACTGATTTACCAACCGAAATTTTTCTTGCTTTGTAATATATTCTGGTTTATTAACATCGAATTAAATATTTGAATAAAATGGTCCTATAGGACCAAAACCATTCAACTTTACAAAAGTTACACATTTCATTTAATTAAAACACTAAAAATAATAACAAAATCAATAAAAATTTTGGACAGAAAAATAAACTACAAAATTTTAGTCAGTGAGGGTATTGTTGAGCACCTGTAACGTTAAGTGTTGTAACGTGGGGCTAATAAAATCAGACGTTGTTCTGAGTTGATAACCATTTTCTCGTCGTGGTGGGAGCATTTCGCGGAACCTGTCAGATAATGCCAAGTCCTCTTGAAGTAAGGTTTTTATTGTGTCAATTTTCCTCCTGTAGGTCGTGTATTTCACTGCCACCTTCCCCTACGTCGTTATTCTGATTTTGCTGATCCGTGGTGCTACCCTGCCTGGTTCTCTGGACGGAGTCATTTACTACATCAAGCCAGAGTTTAACAAGCTACTTAATGCTAGGGTATGTCTTAGGAATGCAAAGCCATCTTTTCAATCCATGGAAGATGATCGCATTGTTGGGTCAGTAGCTGTCTTATGAGATGAGTTCTGTGATTTCTCTTTTAGGTCTGGAAGGACGCTGCTGTACAGATCTTCTATTCCCTGGGACCAGCCTGGGGAGGTCTCCATACACTTGCTAGCTACAATAAGTTCGATAATAACTTCAAACGGTTGGTGCCTTTCAAATATAATATACAAATTCAGTAAAAAAAATTCTCTGAAACAGGAAATACTCAAAATGGCATGCACATTTCTGACATGAATTCTGTAATATCTTCTACTACCTATTAAGCTTATATTTTTGTATCCGTCGGCGAGATTGTAATATTTTGAAGAGTTCTTTTCTGATTAATTCCATTTCTAAATCCTTGTATTTCGAATTTAAATTTTTCCCCAGTGATGGTATCATTATCGCTTTCACTAACTGTGGCACCAGTGTCTTTGCGGGATTTGCCATCTTTTCTGTTATTGGATTCATGGCGCATGATTCTGGTCTGCCGATTGACAAAGTCGCTGACACCGGTTAGTATACCTACCTATCATCACAAGCATTCCACCGTTTGTCTTAAAATTAAATACAGATAGAAAACTTCAAAATCCCATACAAAGGCTGATTCAACACCTTACAATTGTAGGTTATATCTTCTCTTGATCGTCAGTCTCTCTCTTGGGAACAAGTTGATTTCTGTTCTGTTAGACAGTGGAAATCAGGTCGGGTTTGTGTAGTTCATTGCTACTGTTTTAAATTCTCATTGGCCAACAGGTCCTGGTTTGGCCTTCGTAGCTTACCCAGAAGCATTAGCGAGAATGCCTGCTGCTCCAGTCTGGTCTATCCTATTCTTCTTTATGCTCTTTACGCTTGGTTTGGACAGCCAGGTAAGTTGAGCAGACTCTCTGTCTAGAGTTTAGACTAAAGAGACAGGTTGGTGAGTGATAAGGGTGTGCAAAGGGATGATTCGGTTTTCATAATTATTATCTCCAACTGCGGACTGGCGTGTTAGCTTTTGAAAAGCTTCAGATGAGAAATTGAGACTGAAATCATATTATCTCATCAGTGTTTGAGAGAACACTTGCGTCATCGAATTCTCCTCGACTTTTTCTCCAGTTTGTGATGACTGAGACGTTGATAACAGCTGTTTGCGATGAGCTGAAGAGTTACTTCAAGAACATTAACAAGTGGAAGACTTTAATCACGCTGGTAGTCTGCTGCACTTTCTTTCTGCTGGGGTTGCCCATGACAACCAGGGTAATTCAATCCATAATCTTTCAATTATAAACTGTTACCAGTCCCAAATGAAGTCTAAAATCTAGATTCTCTGAAGGTACTGTCTAATCATCGTCGATTCCTCTGTGTAACATTAAAGACGCTTGAAGTAGACAGTAGATCCGTCACTATCTTCCTTGTTGAATTTTTTTCTTTTTTTTTTTTACCAGGGAGGCATTTACTTGTTAACTTTGATGGATAATTACTCGGCCGGATTCTCACTTCTTTTGATCGCTCTGCTTGAGTGCCTGGTCATCGCTTATGTCTACGGTGAGATTCACTGAAATAAAAAAATGCTTTCTATGCTTGTATGCATCTACAAAAGTATGACTTTATGTCCTACAGTGTACCTGTAAGAGTTTGCAACGCGTTGGCCAATCACAACGCGCGAAATCTGTCGACCCATTCCAAACGCGCATTGGGTCGATGAATTTCGCACATTGTGATTGGCCAACACGTTGCAGACTCTCGGAGGCGCACTTTGTGAATCGCCCGTTTTGATCCCCTAAAAAATGGATGATTCAAAAACGTGAAAATAAAAAAAATTCGGCAGCTTTTGGAGAATCTGTGCCATATTGTTTTCTCAACCCTGATTAATTGTGAGTTCAACTAAAAATAATTATTTGAAGTACCGAGGAAAACATAAATTATTGTTGTGTTTTTATGATGGTACTTTGTTGTAGGAATCCGAAGATTTAACCGCGATATGACAGTGATGGTGCCAGCTGGACTCGGCCCGTACTGGAAACTCACCATCATGCTCTTTGCTCCATTGATACTGGGTGTAAGTAGAAGTTTAGTCCGGTCAATTATTCCTTATTTTACTCTAGTCTGTTCCATTATGCGACATTCAGAATAGTCTATTAACATTATTTGACACTTAACGGTGGGTTTTTTCTTGTTCGTTTAGGCCATCTTTGTTTTCTTTGCGGCAACCTATACCAATCTGACCTATGGTAAATACATTTACCCACCGTTTGGTGAAGCTCTAGGCTGGTTGATGGTGTTGGCAGCTGCTCTTGCTATCCCAGCCTACGCTTTGTTCTTCTTTCTCGTACGATCGAAGGGGAACACACTGCTAGAGGTAAGTCCAGACTGTTCATTGACGGCTAAAGGTTCAGCTGTTGCTCTCAAATTGGATACTGTATTTCGAAGGATTGCATTTGCACTAGCTAACAAAGTTGGTTTTGAATGTCAAAAGATAATAAGACTACCATGGGGTTTGGTAAGTCATGATAATAAATCGATTCAATCCACGGGAAAGGGCTTTCACAGATGATTAAAAGTACGGTTGTTTTGGTACTTTCTTTAGCGTTTGCGTTTCTCCTTGAGACCAAGTCCCGAGTGGGGTCCTGCCTCTAATGCTGACCGTCTGAAAGCTGGTTACCCCTCGCTACCAGAACCCAATCAGGAGATGACTGTTCAGTACGATACTTCTCCACCTACGTACAACAGTATCTATTCCAGCACACTCGGGGAAGAAGGAATTGTAGTGGAAGCTAAGTAAATCGGTCGGAACGACAGACCAGGCGGTGGGAACCCGTTACTAAAACATTCATTTGTCAATCTCTGGCATCTTCCATTATTAAAAGGATTCTTAATTGAAGATAACGATAACGATGAGTTGGATGTCATCTCCTTTCCGTATTTCAAACAGTGTAGAATATCAGTTGACTTTGATTCATTCCAAATCTGTAATAGTTTAAAAGAACATTTATAAATTCAAACAATGCTTTCAACTACCCCTAATAACCACGCTGACTTCCTTCCGTTTGGGGTGTTGTACTGCATACTTGTTCGATAAATTATTCTTGTGGAATGTGTGTCTTACAATTTGGCATGAGTGTAAATAATCATATTTTAATCAAGATCTGGTGATTTGATATTTGAATATTTACTGAGAGTGGTATTATTTTACGTTCTTTTTTAAATAATATCTTCTGCGCGCTATCGTATCTTTGATGTACTTTCGATGAAACGGATCGCTTTATTTGTATACACTTGTCGAGTTATTTTAAATGATAGATTTGAGTGGTTTTTAATTGTAATTTAAAGTTCAAAATCATAGCATTTCTTACAAAAATTAAGTATGTGTCTCCTGTTGCATGTATATCTAGGTTCCAGAACGTAGCGTTTATTTAGGCCTACTGCAGATTCTGGAAGAACGTAACTTGATGATATGCTGTGTGGCGAAACAAAACTCGCATTTATCCGAGAAAGGTGCGCAGTCGTTCAGTTCATTGTCATTTCTTACGAGAGCTGTACTGTGTTCACGACAGTATAAAAGTTGACACTCGACTTGTTTCTTCAACTTAATTTTTCGTCATAGTCTATGATGATAGGCCTAGAGTTGTCAGTGTACAGTTTTAGTCGGTGTATTGTCGCATGGGTCACGTGTATTTTATTAAACTAATTGGTAAAATGATTGACATTTGCATATTTTTTGGCTTTCTATTTGATCAACATTAATTCCTGTGGAATGGCTTTTCTTGGTGGCGTTTGCTGCCCATCTTAATTGTCTTGTTCCTAACATTTTTTAAACTATCGTGTAATTTCAGTCTATTTTGAGTAGAATAGTGTCATTAGAAATATTCTTTTGCATAATGGATCGAATTTACCGATGGTTTCATCTTTCCATCACTATGTATATTTGTGTTCCAAACTCGTATTCATTTTGCAAAATGATTCAGATTCAAGAATTGCAGTCGTGGGACGTTTTGCAAGCTTATCGTTACTCCAGGTTGAAATGGGCTGGTCTACAAAACTGGTCTGGGTTTGAAAAGTGAGTTAACACTCTACTGTTAGTGAAGTTTTCAAGTATCTTTTAAGTGTGTTTGTTTGTTTGTTTGTTTGTTGCTTTATTTTCTATAAGAAAACATGGATTAGTCCCCTGTTCTTTTGGCTTTTGTGTATATGTAGTGTGACTACTCAATAAATATTCGATTTTTTATGCTTTAGATAAGGTCTTGAGCTCCATCACTCCAACTTGAAAGTAAGTTGTGTATCTGTGTGATTCAGAACGGATTTGACAGTAGTAATACGCTGGACAGTTAACTGAAAGGCGAAACGGGATTATGGTGGACCAAAAGTTGTATGGATTATGTTTCACTGTGTGTAGTCACTGAATATTCCTTGTTCTATGAAAACCCACAGCGAATCATGATCTAAAGCAAGTAAGTCGACTTTGCTCCCTCGGCTGGTGTAGGCCTACATGATTTACTCCACAGTGTTAACAGCTTCAGGGAACAGTCAATCGTAATGCAAGTTGTGTGGCAAGAAAAGCGCTCAAAATCCAAACTTAACAAGGGTGCAGTACAAAAAAATTATGAAGTTTGAGCTCGACGAATGCTTTAGATTCCAAGAAAAGTAGTGCAGCGCGATACCGATTTCTTTAAAACTGCCTTTATGGTTCTCGACGATAATTTTGTCAGTAACTTTATGGATAGCTACTTCCTGGAATTGTACCCGGTTTTGATCACGATAGAGGATCATTCCCCCACTTTTTCTGAAAGAGAACAAGTACACCCAGGTTAGAGGCTACAAGTTCCGAATCTTTGGTGTATGGAAAAAGCTCTACATTTGGTTCAGATAATGACACCTTTTATTAGAAATAGCCATCAGTGTCGCAAAATAATTTATTAGTGAGCTTTGCGCGCAGGAATCTACCGATTTATGTGAATGGAAAACTGACGGAGAAGAGGGCACTGTCGCTACATATCGCCTCCCCAGCCCAGCGCGGACGACGTGTGATGCATGCGCACAGCTAGCTCTGTTCAGTTTCCTTGTATACCGCCCTCTAGTGGCAGTCGTGAACGACGCTCGGGTAAAATGGCAGTCTCTGACAAAATTTGTAAACAGTGGATAAAAATGCCAGTAGACTGACTCATCCAGATCTGGAACCTGAAGGTTAGGATTTTTATAAACGTCTTTAATGTTCAAGTCATCGTTTTAATCGAGACTTTCATGTGACAGTAAAACAGCAATCCATGAATTACACTGTCATGACTGTACTTGGCTTACACTTCAGAAAAGTGTTCACGGTGTGTGAGCGCATGAGCCAGACCTGGCGTCCCAGATCCCCTATGAGCCGGGGCCCCTGTGCCATGTGTGATGGTGGCAGGAAGCCTAGGCTATTTTATTTTATATCAGTCTCAATTAAATCTCTCGAAACATGTCGAAAAGCTGTCAAAACTGAGGCATTTGTTTGTAACTCCAGGGTTCAGGATTGGCACTGACTAGGCCTATTTCTTGAACAACATGAACATTGGACAATGTTGGAGTTTTATTCACTAGGCCTACTCTTTCACAGTCATGTCAGTTGCAAGATTGAAGAGTCAGTGGCAGTGATAATGTTAGGCCTACTTGGTTCCGTTTATCATGATTTCAGGACAGGAGAAATCTCCATAGTTTCTGAAATTATTTCTGTCCCATTACATCCCTGGATTAGCTGTTGTGGCTCACTTCATTAAAATAGAGAACAGATGAATGTGTCTGTGGTCTTGTTCCTTATAACAAAAATAGAAGGCTGTGTACAAAATGCAGGGCAATGTGTGGATGTAAGATATGGATCAACGCAAGTTGCCAGCTTGTGGTTTCATGCTTTGCCAATAGTGAAGAAATCACCAAAGCCACCACAAGAGAAATGTTGCACTCTTTTAAGTTTTCAGACATTTTGCAGCCAAATTCTGAATACCAAAGAATCCATCAAAGTTAATCTTCTGATGAAGATACATGGATGGATAAACAACATTGTAACTGAGGATACATGAAGTAAAGCGCTGCGTAGTGGTACAAGATGGAGAACTCTGCCAAAGAGGAGTTATCACCATGGACGCCATTCGAGTGTGCACGTTAATGCATAGGCGCTGGCATACCAGGTGTGCGTGCCTGTCACTGCGCATTAACATGCACTGCACAGGTATAGTCCAACCCAAACGGCGCCCACGCGATTACAACATTTTACACTTATTCACGGTGAAGTTATTCATCTTGCACCGCTACGCGGTGCTATACGATCTTTGATTGTAACTGTGCTCTGACGAGTCTTATAGTTGAGCCTGTTATTCCTTAAATACAGTGTTATGATTGCTCTGTATTCATAGGTCTGACCGATAACATTCAGCAAGATTTCAGCAATCAGAATGTCAGTGACTATGACAGTAACAGAGACAGGTGTCAGGTGAGAACATGGTCCTTGGATGCCTGTGTGGTGCACAGAAAACAAACTTATCAAAATTCAGTATTTTCCTGGCTTGCTATTTTTATCTGTTGATGATTCGCAAACAAGTTGTTGCCATCAGTGCTTAATTCGAGATTATTCAGATTGATTTGTTTTTTTATCTTCAAGTGCTGTTGAGGGATCACCACGGCACAGTCACCACATGGATGAAACAGAAACTGTAGTATTCAATGACTGTAAAACTGGCCTCGGTAAGTAACTTCTCATCTTGGTAAATAATCAATGAACAGTGACATAGCAGTCCAAGTTGGTTACAGTAGATCACTCATTTGCATTGCCGGGAATGGAAAATACCCGTACACATTCTCAGAGGATTGCACTGACTCACTTGTCTCGTTGTAATCAGCCAGGCATTCAACCTGTCTCTAGCCAGAGCAACAACAAACTAGTTCTTGTTATGCAACACGGTATTTACAAATGAAATAAAAACCAAGACATTAAATTGTAGCATTTACAGAGAATGTTTTAACTTAAGGTTGTGTAGAGTGCAGCAAACAACATGGATGCTTTCATTTCAAAACACCATTATCTAATGGTTGGTTTGAATTGAGATTGAGATCAACCGATTTTTGTTATGTAGCTTTGTATGCTCTTTCAGTAACAACTGAGAGTTACTTTAATCATTTCTTATCCATCTGTCATTTTAAAAGATTAAAAGATGAAAAAGATTTGAAAACCTAGCTACATTTCATTTTCATACCTGTGTAGTTTTCTAATCTGTGTGTTGTTCTAAGAATTAGTTAGGTTGCATGTTTTAAAGCTGTAAATGAACCATTGTTGACACTTGAATGAAAGAAAAAGGAAGCTCTGAAATACCGCATTATTGACAGTCTAAATGAATATCTGGATCACTAGGCATCAAGATTATAGGAGGAAGGAGTGAGCAAGAGAGTGGAAGAGATTATGGCATCTTTATACGACGGGTGATCCCCGGTGGACTAGCTGAGCAAAGTGGTGGGTTAACACAGTGATCACCATCATTAGCTTACATGTAACTTGGGGAGTCAGGTTGGCGTGGTGGTTCTTTCCTCACCTTCCATCTCTACGGTTTGATTCCCGGCTCAGTCCACATGTGGATTGGGGTTTCAGTCCCTACCTGATTCCGTAGGTTTTACCCAGACTATTGCTGTGGGGTTTTCCTCCCACCTCTAGGAGCTACAGTGCCTGGGGCGTTTTTGAGGAATCCTTGGTGTTATTACCAGAAATTAAAATAATAATAATAACAAGCATTTCCCACTCAACACACTTCTGTTACTGAGATATTTTGTGATTATATTTTACCAGGACGTTTGAAGGAAGGAGACCAGATACTGAGTGTAAACGGCACAAGTTTACTGCGTGTTACCAATGATGAGTGAGTACCGTTACTGCCAACGTACACATAGATGTGTTATTTACAATACCTGTGTTGTCCTTATTTCCACATTTTGTATTTGCTAAATGTCATGCAGCGTGTCATGCAGCATTGAGAAAAAAAATCAGGAGGAATGGTCAAGCTCTGCAGAATATGAAACTGATCTTCAGGAAAACTTTTGTTCATCTATCTTCTTTTATGCAACCCTAAAAGTCTTCAGTCTTCCAACATGAAGTATGGGGGACTGATACAGTCAGGAAATATATACAGAGAGCAATTTTTCCTTGATTGTTTACCGTAGTAGCTTAACATGTTTTACCTCATAACCTGATCAAGATCTGTCAGTTTTGTGTTGTATTTAATAATCTAAATAACTGTGAACTATTTCTTGTTGGATATTTTTGTTCAGAGCTGTACAGCATCTCCGAAGTGCCTCGGCAACTAATCAAGTTACGTTGGTTGTCACAAGAAATATGTCAGCCGTGTAAGTGCTGCAGTGTCTTTTCTGTTGCTTTTCTGAGAAATGCAGCTTGAGCAAACATTTTGAAATAAAGTTGATGATTTGTCTCATTGCAACCGCTTCAAAAGATTGTTACTCCGTTTTAATCCAATTAATCTGAACATTTCTGTCAGTTTGCATACTCACTAGGCAAATATTCCAGTTAAGAAGTCCATCATTGTGCTGTTTTGTTTACAGGCGTCGATTTTCGTTACTTATTGAAAGTCAACTTGCTAACACAAGGAATACTTTCAGCTTGGATTCACAGTCTATCTCATCAGATCAAGGCTCAGATGTACACGAGCAAAGTAAGAAGTAAAGTAAAACTACAGGTTTTGTTATGCTTTGGTTCATCCACCATAAAAAGCTCACCATACCCAGCTGCTTGAGCAAGCTATTCACAGAAATGTGCTTGGGCTGTTTCAGTCTACATAATTTATGCCTATGTTCATCTTTGGTTTAGATGTGGCATCGTTTACAGGGACCTGCCTATATCTCCTATCATCCCCTGTCATCTCAGTGGATTGTGAGATAGAGAACATACTTCTTATAATGATACCGTCCATTCAGGAGACTGGGATGTTTTCAGTGTGCAAATGGCTGAATATTGACCTGCGTTCATTTTTTCTCTGCTTATCAGCATTTCCCTTTTCTTCTTCTCTTGTGAACCAGGTTCCAGACCCTGGTCTTCATCTCAAAGAGAGCGGACCTCAAGTCAGTCACCATCACCTAGTCTAGACTCTGCATCATCAGTACCGGCTGAGCGAGCTCCAAGCTCAGCTAATCAAAGGTCAGGGCTACAGCTAGCTCAAGACAGTACAATAGCCTGTCTATTCTCATTGATATCTCCTAATCATAATACGAACTGTCAAATTAAGCAATCCATCAATTTTACCTCAGCACAGTAGAGATGAGCACCGTGCACTGTTAAGTACGTATCAAGTATTAACCTGCAAGAATCCACTGTTCGACTTCATGTTGGATCCCTGGATGAAATCCTGCAGGTAATCCACTGGCTTTCAAACTTTCCATGCAGGACGCCAGATGTGCGTGAGATTATCTTGAACAAGTTGAGTGGTCTTGGATTGAGCATATCTGGAGGCGTGGATCGACCAGACGGACCAGGGATATACATCCAAGGCATCCAACAAGATGGAGATTGTGCAAGGGTAAGGTTCACTTTTTGGGGGGTCAAACTTGCTGAGACAATGGGTCATATGAATAAAACTAGCAAATGCTATGAAGTTCAAGCAAACAGCAAAAGCATTTACTGAGAAGTAAAAGCGTTAAGAATAAGCAATTGCTTGAATTTGTAGGAATAAATGTTTCTTTGACTATTCAGCATCTAGTATAAATATTAGCAAATGCTTAACGCTTGTGGGTGGCTGCAGAGCTGAATGGTTTTGCACAAGAGGGCTTCCGTTGTCTGCACGTACTGACAAACACAGTGCAGCACGGTGCTGTATCTTGAGACCTCAGTATGGCAGATAAGCACGATGGCAGTAATTTGGATCGCAAAAACCTTGATGAAGAAAATTGCTCTGTCACTCTCAAATCAGTACAACTGCCTGCATGTGGTTTCTTGAGATTCCCTCCTAAAGGCATACGGCTTTTCCTTTGGAATGACATTCACGAATGCTGCCATTTTGAACATCAGTAAATGCTCCTCGTTTTCCAGCTTGCCCTAACCCAGTTTTGAACAATGTCAAGAAATACTCCATTCCATTACAGAAAACAACTAAGCTCTGTTTACCTACATTTGCATATCAGCGCACATGCGCGTCAAACCTCACTGAAAAAGTTGCCCAAGCCACACCCTCCGTGCCCACTGCATGTCCCACATAAACGCTGTGTAGCACTAAGACTCGTTCTAGTTTTTTCAGCAACGCGTGCAGTCCATATCATGCGAAATCAGAGTACAATGGAGCTTAATGGTCATATGCAATCTTGCTGAATTCGATAGAAAACTGTTAATTCAAGCCACGTTCCAGGCAAATCTCCCGGTCCCTCCAGCCTGATCGTCCCTTCAATCATGATATTTCCACCATCTCAACCAAGTTTAATATGCCGGGTTCAACAGTTGGGAAGTTCTCCAGGGCAAAGCCTGCGACCGGTCTCAAGCAGCACTACTCCCCTGCAAATCCCGCACACCTGCAGTAGCCAGGTGTGAGCGCATGGAAACAGCGGAATCCGACGTCCATGTACATGCGGGAGGGCAGGGCGCGGGACTCGATGCAACGATATCGAACGGCTAGCGAGCCCCGCCTGGTCACAGAGTCCCGGGGCACCACCATCACCCATATCTTCATCAAATTTTAGCCTCGAGAACAGCAGCCATTTTGTTGCAGGTACAGGTCAGACGTAACAGCTTCAACCTCGTTCTCATTCAAGTGCTTGGTCTTATTTTCCAAATGACCCTTGCCCGTCAGGCACGAGCATCCAGATTTTTCAACAGTGTTTCCCATGAACTATCCCCATTTTTATACAGCTCATCCAGCATATCAGGCGGATTCCTTCACACTGAACAAAAGCCCACGACGTAACTGTCCCTCCAGATCATGGGGCCACTTCTCAGCGTCGTTTTGATGACCGGATGCCATGCGTACCCATCCCAGCAGTTCTACTGCACGGGACTTCCGGCACGATATTTATGTCCGTTCACGGTCTCGCTGTCACTCGTTTGATCAACATCCAATCCCCCCTGACACTTATGGGTCNATGCGATTTTGAACATCAGTAATTGCTCCTCGTTTTCAAACTTGCCCTAACCCAGTCTTGAACAATGTCAAGAAATACTCCATTCCATTACAGAAAACAACTAAGCTCTGTTTACCTACATTTGCATATCAGCGCACATGCGCGTCAAACCTCACTGAAAAAGTTGCCCAAGCCACACCCTCCGCGCCCACTGCATGTCCCCCATAAGGCAGTGGAGCACTAAGACTAAGCGTGCAGTCCATATCGTGCGAAATCAGAGTACAATGGAGCCTAATGGACATATGCAATCTTGCTGAATTTGACAGAAAACTGTTAATTCAAGCCACATTCCAGGCAAATCTCCCGGTCCCTCCAGCCTGATCGTCCCTTCAAGCGTGATATTTCCACCATCTCAACCAAGTCTAATATGCCGGGTTCAACAGTTGGGAAGTTCTCCAGGGCAAAGCCTGCGACCGGTCTCAAGCAGCAATACTCCCCTGCAAATCCCGCACACCTGCAGTAGCCAGGTGTGAGCACATGGAAACAGCGGAATCCGACGTCCATGTACATGCGGGAGGGCAGGGCGCAGGACTTGATGCAACGATATCGAACGGCTCGCGAGCCCCGCCTGGTCACAGAGTCCCGGGGCACCACCATCACCCATATCGTCATCACATTTTAGCCACGAGAATAGCAGCCATTTTGTTGCAGGTACAGGTCAGACGTAACAGCTTCAACCTCGTTCTCATTCAAGTGCTTGGTCTTATTTTTCAACAGTGTTTCCCATGAACTATCCCCATTTTTATTCAGCTCACCCAGCATATCAGGCGGATTCCTTCACACTGAACAAAAGCCCACAACGTAACTGTCCCTCCAGATCATGGGGCCACTTCTCAGCGTCGTTTTGATGACCGGATGCCATGCGTACCCATCCCAGCAGTTCTACTGCACGGGACTTCCGGCACGATATTTATGTCCGTTCACGGTCTCGCTGTCACTCGTTTGATCAACATCCAATCCCCCCTGACACTTATGGGTTNGTTACTGTTCCAGAATTCCTTCGGAGGCACCTTTTTCCTCTCATCTGTCCAACATTGTCCACTAATGAGGATAGCCTCCCTCTTTTTCAGGAGGCTAATCTATCATTTACAGTCATGACATAAGCCTCAACCATGTCAACTTCCATTTCCAGTTGAGCCTTTTATACGTATTCCATCTTATTGTCAGGTGATTGTAGGGATTTTGGTACATGTACACATACATGTACCGCAGGATAATAAATGATCTCACCAGTATTGCGCGGTATCAGTGGACCCCTATCAAGTTTTTATACTATGTCCCAGGTTCTTAAACAAACCCTCGGCCTTAGACTGAGTTACCATTTGTGTCTTGGGGATAAGATCACGTTCTCCCTCTTTGACCGATGTGCCCCTCCCACGCATTCTACAGTACTGCCCACAATAAACAGACAAAGGGAACACCATCACCAGGGTAACATTGTTACCGTTGTAAAGATGTTTGATTTACGGTAATCAAAGTGTCTTAATCTCTTATCGTTCATCTGGCCAATAACTACACGTTCGAAAACTGCACGGAACATTTTGTAATTCCCCTGGTAAACGGTACAATGAACCACTTCCTGCTTTCTTGTGATTCTTTGGCATTTCTTCAATAGAAGAATGTACTTTTGTGTGTACTTGGTACATTTATTTACCTGTATTCACTCATTGCCTAGTTCTTGGCATCTAAACTCGACACGGTCAATTTTGGTCCGGATAAAACTTCAGGTTTTGAAAATTATTCAATTTAACTGTCGCTCAAATAGTTCCAACTTCCACTGAAGCTGTTGTCATTAGTCACCATTGCCTTACCTTTGTCCTGTAAGGCTTCAGACAATGAGGGCTCTTGTACTTAAATTTAAGTCACAGCACTACATTTTCCTTCTAAGTGGTATCATGTTAGGGTTCGAGATGGACCCTCGGGTACAAGGTCTTCCAGCCGGGTTCCTGTGTGGGCTCGGCAAATTGACATGTACAGACCAAGTTATGAGTGTAAGTGGCTGCGCCTATGCAGTGTGCCCCGCGCACACCCCTTGAGGTGCCTTTCCATATGTACAATTTGGGTGCCTTGCATGCTGGCGTGTTGTTTCCGTTTCGTTTTCACAGACAGAGCGATCAACTCCATTAACATAATGCTCATGTGCGTTTTGTTCCCCCGTTACGGTTGCTCCAGGAGCTATTTCGTCAAGCGCGCGGCTCGTGGCACAGGTTTTGTCGCACACGTGGAAGGGTGACATAACTTGTGCACATACGTGATGAGTTAGGATTGCTTTTTTCATTTACTAACAACAAAACAAATGAACACACCATCTTTTTGGCCTTGCTCGGAGCGAATATTACTCAACTCATTGTAGCTCTAGCCCCTGTACTGCCGCGCCTTCCCAGAGAAGAATTGGATAGACTTTTGGTACATGTATGCACCACCTGGTCAGTGTTTCTTAAAGTACATGCAGTATCAACACACTACGCAGGACATGTCGCAGTCGTGCATAATGCTGGACCCGCAGTATCCCTTATTGGTTACCATTTGTTGTCCACTAAATTTTAGCGTAGTGGAGTGGCTGCCACTGTACTTTAGTTACCGTAGCCTTTCCTACGTCCAGGTTTTGTTATGCAAGTCTTCCTGGACATGGCCACGTTGCACGGAAAGTCCTACAGGTTTATGCACAGAAATTGCTCTCCTTTTTTCCTGTATTCATGATGATAATTTGGCGAGCATGTTCACACAAATTTCCTTGGCACAGCTCATGGGTTTTCATCTGTTTCACAGGTTTTATCACGCGATAACAGGCTACATGCATGTGTGACCTTGGTTGACCAGTTTCCCCATGGGTTCCCATCATGGTTACCTGACTGACGCAAGTTGTACATACTTGTAATGGCGTTAGTGGTCTATAACTCTCAGGCATTGTCGACTGTATGGTTAGGTCGCATAAGGCAGGTTTTTGTCACCTTCGTGATTTTGGTGGTCTTTGTCCCATTTCATGCCGTTCATTCCACAAAACGTGCATACAAAATAGCACAGCTAGTTTTGGGTTCCTTGCTGGTCAGTAATGGATACAATAGTGCCCATACAACATCACAGTCAATAATGGGTAAAGCCTTCTTTTTTCCTTCACTGATTTACGTATTGTACAACCATTCAGTATAATTACATGGCTTATTAAATACGCAGTATAAAAAAAGGATGGGGGTTGCAATTTCAAAGTTATACACCCTCTTGAAATTGAAGGGACGAACACACTTTGTAAATTAATTCATCCACAACACAAATTTTCAAAACAGCCTAGGTGCCGTTTCAGTTGGCCTTCATGCCCCTCTGGTATTTTGAGGGGTTGTATTTGAGGCAAAGTGGCCTTTGCCCATCTATAGCTAATGGCTGTAGCCTGCTGTTCCATTTGATAACAAGTTCCACCAGACCATGCTGCTTGAGGTCTATTACCTCCAGACTGCAGAAAGGCTGGACCTCTGTCATTTTGCTAACGTTCCTCTCTTCAAGCCACCCACTGGACAGAGGAAGACTTCTTTGGTTGATGCCCCACCACTGGGCAACACCACTCCCACAGACTGATCCCTTCATTTGTTGCTCAACCACAGTTAGGGGAACTCATGCCTTCACCTCCCCTTCCTGTTATGAGGGGTACTTCCAGTTGCTCATAAGAGACAGAGTTATCAAGAATGTTCCTCAGTTTGATCCTTTCATTTTTTCTCAACCTCAGTGAAGGGAATTCTCATTGCTCATGAGAGACAGAATTATCCAGAATGTTCTCTTTGCCTCATTTTGGCCCACAACAGTCTCAGTTCCCTTGCCTCTTGGGCCTACTTATTCATTCTCCAGTCAGGCTCCTCAACTGCCGAGACCTCCTGACTCAACCCAGGTCTCCAATGGCTCATCTGGATCCAGCCTCCCTTCATTGGTGTGCTTGGATGCTGTCACAGTCTCCCTTAGAGTAGCTGAACTTTGGGAAGTAGATTCCGCCTGGGTAGCTCAACACAGGTGGAGCCCAACAGGCAGGCTTATGGTAGCTGACTTCTCCACTTTACGAAGTAGTACAAGACAATGGTTACTGATCCCCATTCTTCAGCTTCACTTATCATCTGGGCTTTTCCTCTTCAAACATTTAGAGGGATCAGGGCATCATTCTATCATTGTATCCCAAGTCTCTCATTGATTCAACACAGAGGCTCGTACTTTTCATCAACCAACCTTTAAAATGGTATTTCTGATGGCTGCCCAAACATTTTCACGAGGAGGCCAATTTTATGCCTAGTCCACAGAACCAGGCCACCTTCACCGGGAACCCAGCGGCGTATGCCTCATTCCACACATGGGGTCTCTGACCACGGATCATTCAACTGATTTCTTTTCCTCAGATGTCTTCCAAGGTTGACAGCAATTTCAACAATGGCAGAGGATTTATGGTGGTGCCCCGTACAAGCTTCCACATATTTCTTTGCTCATATGCAGCCATTACGAGGTGATGTCCAGCAGTTGTTCATCACAACCATCCAGCTACATCGCCCAGCCTCTTTGACCACAATCACTCAATTAAGATCAGAGGCAATAATATGTGTAAGCCCTCTTGATATTGAGGATCGAAATCAGGTGCCCATGAGACAAGCAGCACATCAACATCCTGGGCCCACCGGCTTGGAGTTTCTGTTTCAGGCATAATGAAAACAGCCTGCTGGGAGAATCTAATCACCTTCACTTCATGCTGCCTGAAGGATATATTTCCAATAGAGGGTGTCATGAGCAGGGAAACCCTCAAGCAGGTCGGCTGATCAGCAGCCTGTTCATCCCGCAAAGCTACCATTTCTCACAACTAGATAGGCAGCTTCCGGGTATGTCTAAATAACCTTTTTCAGTTAAAACCTTCGTTACCCTGCCTGTCCCTTCCCTCCCAAATTGTTACCTAACGGTGCTACTAGGCAAATGTAGGTAAACAGAGGTGAGATGTTTTCTGTAATGGAATTCCCAAAATCCAATGGGATTTTTCATTCTAGGAAGAAAACACTCGCCCCGTTTACCATCCCTCCCTATTCAAAAATACCCCCAAAAATACAAAATCAGGAGAGAGACCTAAAAAAAAAAATAGGATGAGTCTTAGTGCACAAGCGTAAAGAGTAAAAAGTAAATACTTTGACCTGTTAGTGATTGCACTAATTATGTAAAACCGTTTGCTTCGTTACTCATACAAACACGAGTAAATGCTTCAAAAATGGTTGTAAAAGCAAATGCTGCTTTTTATTCATACGACCCAATGGTTACATTTCCCTGTTCATGTCCAGTGCGGATATTCCAGGAAGTTTTCTCTCAGCTTCTTTGACTGAGCAGTGTGGTCATTTTCCACCGACCAAATTCTGCTCAGAAAAAATCCTGAGACACAGAAAGTCTGTCAGAAAGCGCGAGTCAGAAAAAGCATGGGAAAGTGGCCCAGTAGAGTGTACATCGGGCCAAAGAACAACACCATGCTTTATACAAGGAAACTACACATGCGCGTTGCACATTTCACTGCGGCGTGGCATGTCGTAAATATTTCCAGTAATTTGTTTCTCTTTTGGTCGCAACCATTGCAGAAACTTTTACTGACACTCTCGGAAGATTAATTGTTGTCAAAGAGTGCTCCATTTCCATATGATAATGAGGATAGTAACGTTGTTTCTAAGGACAAAAAGAAATGCTGAAAGGTCACCGAGAGAGAGCCCTCATAAGTCATTGCATTGCCAGCTCAGTAACTTCTCCTGCGGTCTCAGTCAAACTTCCCGTGTCAAAGGTCCAATTGTGGACAGTGGTCACATTTGACCATGTTCCATTTGACCATCAGCTCGGTAAAACCCACAGAAAAAAGTCCAGTGCAAACATGGCTTATGTAGCTTGGATTGTGGAGAGTTCACATAGCTCTTCCTCTAAACCTTGACAATTTGCTCGGTGCACACATCAAGCAGCCATCTTGAAGGCATTTGAATATATGTCAGGCTGAATTGATATCACACAAAAACCCTGTGTTGCTTCGATTGGAGTGGAAGTTCCGTTCTCATTGTCAACATAGAAATGGAGTGAGTGTACTAATTATAGGAGTTATAGGAGTTACTGAGGGTGCTTTGCAAGCATAGAAACAAGGACGATTCAAGTGTTTTACTGTTTAGATTCCTCATCAAGTTATATCTACACTGTATATTAAAAATTGATGTGCACTTAAAAGCTAAGATGAGATGCTGCGTAGCAACAAGGATGAAGCAGACTGGTTCCATTGGTTCATATACTTAAACTTTAAAAGGAGGGGATGGGAACCGGGGAAGAAGCAAGAGTTCTTACCTACACTGTGGTCATATGTTAAGCATTACTGACTTTGCTTGCACTTACTAATAGTTTTCAACTTTACATAAATTTGATGGCTTAAGAGACATGTTATTACACTATGAATAGTGTTTCATTGGCATTTTACATACTTAGGATGGCCGTTTGAGAGCTGGTGATCAGCTGATGTCAGTGAATGGGGAACCGTTGTCCGGGGTAACAAATGAGGTTGCCGTGGAGATACTGACTAGAGCATCATGCAGGTAATGTCACTAAATCATTCAATGAATGTGATTATGTTGAGTTCACTTGATATTGAACAATGATGTTAAAATATTCTAGGCTTAATGTTCCTTTGTAAAAGGGATTCATAAAAAAAACAGTACTTCATGAGATGTTTTTCAGGGGACACCAAGGCAGCGACTTGTAGTTGGGTTTGTTATTAACATGAAATTCCTGACTCCTAATGTGATGTACTGACAAGATTAACATTGACCTTAATATGATTAGACTGGACCAACTCAGCTCCATTTGTTGATTTTTACAGTGTACTTCAAGATCTTGAAACCTGACAAAGTTACAAGATGCCCTTGGTGTTTTCCATACAGGACTGATGTGGATACATTATGTGTCAGCTACACTCCAGCCATGTCAGCCCGCTCTTGCAGACAGCCAAGTAATCACACCCCTACCTCCTCCTACCCATCTCCATCAAGTACCAATCAACCTCTCTCCCCTCACCGGTACCCATCTCATTCCACTTCACCCTCACAACCACCACTACATACTGGTCACCAGCATCAACAGGGATCACCATTTGCCAAGACTAGTGGCGTATCACCTCATGTTGTAGGGGATGTGGTGTCCTCTCAGGGAAACATACCCGAGTCATCTTCAGGAGAGCGGTTATCCCCCCCTGTGGTGAGGCAGTTAATGTCGCCACCACGATATGAGCAAGCTACAATCAATGGTTATCCTTTATCAGGTATGTATGGAACTTCTCCACAGTCTTGAAAGAAAAAACAGAACTCAAAAGGAAAAAACCTGAAATAGGAGAACAACTGTATTTTCATTTCTTATAAATTGACACGTCTTCACCAACTTTACTTTATTGAGGTGAGTGAAAAATTCAAGCGAAAGAATGGTTTGAAGAGATGGATTAGTGTCTAAGAGAGAACACATTCTTTAATTTTTGTCCACAGTTGTCCTTAACTATTTTCTTGGAGTTAACTTTTGAAGTCTCATCAACTAGTTTTTAGACTGTTTCAAAAGACTTTTGTAATATCACAATAGTTACAAGTTTGTTGGCTGCTTTGATTGAGTGCAGTTACAATTGCACATTCACAAGGAGTAGAATAACTTTCTTTTGGCCCCCAAAAGCCACCGGTTTCTGGTCAGGTTGGTTCCAAAAGTGTTGCAGTGATGCAGCTTTTTTCCCCCTAAAAATGCTGTATATGTAACATGTGATATCCATCGCCCCTACATGCACACGTACTGCTGATGCCAACACAGATATACGTGTAGACTGGCCCCCTCCCTATTTACTGTTTATAAGTGTTTTCAGCTTGTGAATGTACTCAGGAGATAAGACCACCTAGTTTGTAAATGTATAATACAGAATGATGTCATCTGAAAAAAAGTGTCTGACTAAATGTATGGGGCCTAGAGGTACTCCTTTACTGTACATATCACTCAACCGTACCCCTCATGTAAAACACATTAAAATTATACAGTAGCAGGATTTTAGTTGGTCAAGCAAGTTTGGCAGCTTTGGACATCATTTTTATACCAAATAAAAACGTTTAATTTGCCGACATGCAGGTTTACAGCTACGCCACGCTGACCAGAAACTGGAGACTTTCTTTGCCTATATAGGTTTTTTGGAATAAGCAAGCCTTACTCTTTGGGTCAATGGTCCTTTACCATTTTTTGTTTATCATAAAGATTTGCTTCCTTTGTTGCCAATCATTTCAACTTGTTTTATCTTGATGTACTTCAAATGCATTCATATCTCATTGCACTGTTATCATTCCATGCATTATATAATCATCGATATTTCATGCCTCATGTCTTGGAATGATGGGCACGATCTTTCCTCATCTAGCGCTCCATCATCAAGCACCGTCCAATATTGCCATGCCATTGTATCTTCAGAGACATTTACACATTCAACCAGCATCATCCTCAACTCCGCAAGCCGACAGCACCAGTGGTAATACAAGTCTTATGTTGCATGTCAGTTTTCCTTACAGTACTAGAATGGATTTCATAGATTTGATAGATTTCCATCCATCAAACCTGAATTCAATCTCATTGTTTTATTAGCTATGAGTGTTGAGATACCAAATTGTCAAGTGCAAATTGTCTTTTTCCAATAGGTCACCTTAACAGATTTCCTGCACCACACAGCAGTCACCTGGAGCCGTCACCAGTCCTGCCTACAAGCAGTGTCACCGTGGCAACGCATCATCACAACACCCAATCCTCAGCAGCATCTCCTTTAGCTACACCCCCTATTGGTACCTCTGCCATCAGTCCCTCTCCATCTCAGACCAGCTCTCGTAGGAGACGACTTTCTCTTGATCCACATGTCAGGTTAAGGATTGATAAACTTCAAGTGGTAAGTCTTTGCTGGCATGTACAACTGATTGACTTTGTAAAGTACACCTTTCATATACCGTGTATGCCTTGGTTTCTAGACATTTGAATAGAATTGTGTTTGCTGTGTACTTTATAGTTGAAAAGCCCTGAGTACGTGTATGCTTGTTAACGTGTTAACAATAATGTCTTAGTGCCCAAAGTGGCACAGTTCAGAATTAAAAGCATGGAAGATATTAAAGATTGTTGATTATTGAGTGATCCTTTTGCCAACTCTATGAAGTTGTCCTCATCCTCAGACACAGAATATTTTTTGGAAAGCAGTCAATGCCTGTTTTGAAACGATTCATTGATATTGTGTACATGTTCTCTCTAAAAGGGCTGGCTGTGACTTTCACTTACTGTTCTTAGTTTTGACATGCTAAACTATTGTTATTATTATTAGTGGTTTATTTTTAACCGTACTCCTTGCCGCCAGTGGCAGAATTTTGAATACAATTTACATTAACCACTTCCTGCCGGGGATTCTGGATCCGGATGCTTTATATGAGTGGCCGGGGTCTCCGAACTCGGACAAAGGGAACAGGGCCTTGTAACAAAAGACCGTACTCGGAACAAAAGACCAGGCTGCTGGGCATTACCGACATTTTTTCACTCTCAAAAGTGGTGATAATCCAGCCTTGTTTTGAAACCGTATACCAGGGTTTGGGGCATTTAGAACGAGCCGATTACCACCGGGGACAAAAGCTCTCCACCACCACAGGGATGAGCCACACAGCACTGCTGCACGCTAATCTGGCCCCTATTGAAAAGAGGTCAGCGGTGCACTGTGCCAGGTTCGTGAACAAAAGAAAGTTACATAACACCGCACAATCTGGGCTCTTTTTACAAGGCTGCAGGCCTGGCTGAAATACTCGGGCATCAATAGATTTTGTCTGTCAGGCTAGAGGGGCCACCAAGCAGTCCTTCGTGTGTTCGTAAGTGTCCAGTAAATGAAGATAGGAAATTTTAATGAAAATTTTGAAACAGAAAAAAAATGATAAATATCCCGGCCCAGCATCATCAACATTGGTAACTGCCCCAGCAGGAAGTGGTTCAAAACAGATAAATATAGATTTATATGTACATTTAAAATGGAGAAATTATGAAACAGCTGAAGGCCTTGAATACCTTCACTACCTTGCCGCAAAAAGAACATTAATGACTAAGATTTCCTTCAGTGAATAACATAACTATTTGACATTGTCATATAATTATACATTTTTGGATGTAATCGGATATCTTCAGGCCTTGAAGTATCTTGGGATTGATCCAACTGATGAGGAGAAGGTGGAACTTAGAAGGAGACTGAAAGTAGACCAGTCAGGCATGGTGCCATATGGAGGTATGCCATTTAGACATGGATCAGTGTATGGTTGTAACCTGATTGTTACAGTGCTAACAACTGAATTAATTAATATTTTCCCTCTCGTTGGCAGAGTTTGTTGCCATTGCCAGACAGATCTTCAAGATGCAACTCGATGACAGTCGGTTTGGGGCAGGGTCATTGACCTTTGCAGCTCAAGATGTGACTGATTTTGCAGAACCACCCCTCTTCCAGGAGCAGGTATGCTTCGTTCTTGCAAATATTTACTTCACATTCACACATTCACATATTTACATTTACTTCTGTTAATGTCGAAGGAATGTATCAGCAACCATTTGCATATCTTTTAAAGATAGACCTTAACATTATCTAATATGTTTTATACCCTGAGGACCAGATAATTAGGGTTAAAGTTTGAGATTTCCTTCAGTGCAGTTTTTCGATCAACTGATGCCATTCAACCTGTTTTTGTATCTCAGCCCCAGCAAGTTCTTCCAAGCTCGGTTCCTGTCAGTGAACTTGACAGAGTCAGGAGGGAGAGAGATGAAGCTCTACGAGAAATAGAAAGGCTGAAGGTAATGCATTCATTCTTTTTGGAATGACAATCCAATCACTTTAGGAGCATCTCTAAAGTTAGAGTTTCCATGGGAACACTGGTCATTGCTGTGTAGAAAATCAGCCTTCCCAACTTGATCACAACTGAAATGGACTTGATTGCTTGAGTGCAGGCAAGAATTCAAGTCTAGCTTCTCTTCTTGTAAGAAGGGAATGCACATGCAAAAGGCACATTCTGTAATCAACAAATATCCATTTGCTTGTCTAGGTACAACTTCAAGAAAAGGATCGATCCTTCAATATAGCTGAGGAAGAGTTACTACGTATTCGCAAGGTTGGTACACATCAAGATTTGTGGATGGGTTGGATTCTAGATCCAATCAAAACTTCAGAGGTGTTATAATGAACTCAATTTGATGTGGCATACAATTTTGTAGTGCAAATTGTAGAAAGTCCCCTCTCAGTTTTTTGTCCTTAAAAAGGCTTGCTTGCTAACAGGAATAATGTTACACTTGCAGTGCAGGTTTAGTGATAATTTGTTGTAACATTTAATTTTGAAGATAATATATGGGAGCAGAGAGGCACAATTGACCTGTAACATAAATGATATCACATTTCTTTTCCATGTGTGCTTTGCTATGGGGACACCATGGATTACATCCCACCTCGATGCCATAGGAAAACACACATGTAAACACAGTGTGACATTACTACGTTATAGGTCTATTGTTTTGCAACAAAAGGGTGTGTCTTGGTATATCTCAAGTTGAATTTTGTAGATCTTATGGTAATAATTTCAACATTTCAGGATTTTTAATCCACATGTAAGATAGGTGTCAATATTTGTCATTTGGTCAAATAACTGATCATTCAGTAAATTAGTTATTCTCATTTCAACTTGTTTGTATTGTAGGAAGCTCAAGGAGCGATACATGAAAGCAGAGCTTTGAAGAGTCGTGTCCATCTGGCTGAGGCAGCGCAACGTGAAGCTCGGAACATTGAGATAGATTATGAAGAAGTAGTCCACATGCTAGAAGCTGAGATTGCAATATTGCAAAAGAAGATATCCAAGACACCTCCTCCTAACAAGGTAGATTGTGCCCTCAATCACACCACTCGTCATATTTTCAGGGAAATCTTTCTTCTGCTTCTTTATACAGATTGATCTTGTCAATCAGTCTGACTTGTAAAACTATGATAACGTGAATGACAGATTTTCTGTAGCATTTTGTTCAAATGAGTGTTGTATATTTCATTTTGTTGATGGTCTTGTAATGCAAGTGTCAAATTCTAGCAGTTCTATACATTTCAGTTCGGGAAATAACTCTACAGTAATTGCACAAGATTTTAGCCTTTTAATCATTTGACTGTGTTAGTATTCACTTTAGCATTATTCTGTACATAAATGAAGTTGATCTCTTGACAACTCATTTAACCATTCAGTTGTCATGTATCCATCATTTCTGCTCGTGCTAGGATTTTAATCTGATCCAGTGCTCCTTACATTTACAGGTCAGTTCAGCAGGTGTTGAGGAACTTGATAAGAGGATAGCTGTTATGAGCTGTGAGCTAAGAAAAGCTGAGATCAGTAAAAAGACATATGAAGTAGCCACAGAGAAGCTATTGCAGTTTGCTGAGGTTGGTAATAATTGGATTAATAAGAGCTAGATTTCTTGAGAGAGAAACACTCCACTACAGAGAGAGGCCAGATTTCCAGTGTCATTTCCTCGATGACATTTCAACACCTTTCCCAACTTGTTATCCTTTTAATCCCATTATCAAACAATTACTGGCAATCTGTAATCAAACACCAACAAACTTGGGTTTTCCCTCCACTGCTTTCAAGAACTGAAGCGTGAATTTGTGGTTAGCATTCTTGACTTTGCTGTTGCTTCCCCCCACCATTCAAAGTTTGCAGAGAGCGGTGGTAACACAGATCCCAAGAAGTGATAGTTTCATGTCTTGAAGATGACTGTTGGTTATAATTAACTCGGAAGATAAGAATTAAGATCAACAAAGGATGACACCACTAGCCTCTCAAGCTTGTTGACACAAGATAAACAGTGCAAACTCATAAAAAATCCCAAAAGACAGTACCTTTTAAGAGATAGAACCTCCTAACTTGGAAACCCTCTAGCAAGTGGAGTGGGAACAGCATGTATGGGCAGGTATCACAATTCGTCATTTTGTGATTTCATCACAGTGTTCATGTGTAGTTTTATTTTTATCTTCAGCTTGTCCACGAGTGCGTCAGTCATGGCCCCAATGCCATCATGGTGAACCAAACAAGGGGGCGTGGGGAGAGTGCCAGACGGGGTGATACAGGCTTCATACCCCCAGGGTACCTAGCTAAACACAACAAGCAAGGCCCATTGAATCTTGCTACAGAAGCAAAAGAGACGGTCAAAGCAGTCAAAAAACTATTGGATGTTGAACGTAAGTCCTGTTTGATGAGATGTTTGATGTTTTCCTCCACATAATTTCGTTTTAACATTTCAACAGATTCAAGATAAACATTTCCATTGGATAATAATAGTCAATGGGTTGATGTGAACCATTTTGTTATGTAGCTTGAAACTGTCGTATCGTAATTCTAGAATTGTGGAAGTAGTTTGACAGACACCCTGGGGGTTCCGGGGTTATGCATTTTCTTCATTAATCATAAATGCTTATAGATGTCCGTGCAGAAGCTTCTGCAGTGCTGAAGATATGGTTGAGTTGTCCCCAATCCACAATTGTGTAATGGTGTGACTATTGATTGCATTCTAGCATTACCATATGGCTGGGAAGAGGCCTATACAGCAGATGGCATGAAGTACTATCTCAAGTGAGTTATCCAAAAGAATGTTTTGTTTTCCGACTCAAGGTGTTTGACAAACATAAAAGTGCAAGTGACTGTGTGCATGGCTTAGTTATCAAAACGGAGAGCTCTATAGTTTATTCAAGGATGTCTGTTTGAAGCTCACTTATAAAAAATATCCATTCTATTCTCTGTCAGTTTTCCCCTCGGAGTTTTGATGAGGATACCATATCTCTATTGTATGTTTTCTTTCGTATGGATTTTATTTTTAAAAACTTATGACACAGGTTATAAAAACCTCTTGTTTTGAAAAGAAAATATGCTCAATTGAAAATGGACCGATTACTAATGGATATTTCATGATATGAAATATGTGCACTGAAAGTGGATGTGTAAGTCTCAGTTTCTACCTTCTAGGAAAAGGATGTAAGAAAATCATCAGGTTGGTTTGGTTTTCCTTTAGTTGTTTTCAATTTTGTCTTACGCTTTGGATTTTAGGAAACCACGCAGGATGTCATGGTTATCAATTCAGTTTTGTGACGTCTAAAGTGTTCTCTTTTGATTTTAATAGATTTTGATTTTCGACATTGATGAAAAAGATCACAAGCAAAGTCCAATTGCAGTCAATATGTGACCAGCTCTACAAAGATAGGTATTATAGGAAGTGGAAAAAGAAATCAGCCAAGAAGAAAGTCTCTTCATACCCATAGCAACAGTTAGGTTTCTTATTGTGAAAGTGTCCTAGAAGCCACTAAACCAAGAAGTAAAAAAATCACCCTGTCCACATAAAAAAGCTGTTAGTGTGAACTAGCACAGTGTCCCTTAATACCCTTTTTGATAGAGCGGGTCACATATTTGCTCCTCATTTCTGTTGAATGAGGTGCATTGTCATGAACAGATGCATCAACCAAAGGGAAAAGACATCAAACAGCAAGACTGGTAAAAAAAATCATGCAAACATTGTATCTTCATCATCGCATTTTCCATTTTGTTAATTTCTTTGACAGTCATGTGAACCAGAGAACCACATGGATTCATCCTGTGTCTAGCATCAACCACCTACCAGCCATAGAGGAAAATGGTAGAGACTTACCAGAGACCAAAACATGAAATGAGTAGCAAGGAAACCTGGCTTTTTATTTTCCGAAGTTTATTTCTTCAGCAGGCTTTACATTTGTTGTTGTGTGTCACTGATTTTCTCTAACCCAAGAGCATTTCTAGACCATTTTAAATGGGAGGGGGGTTAACTATTATGAAATTTGCTGACAGAGCATCGACAAATAAGTTGATGCCCACCCTGCATCCTTTCCCCTTCTCCATTCTTGCCAACAGCACCATGATTTTGCCAACAAAACTGATAAATGGAGGGGTGCAAACCCCTCCCCCCAGCAACGGCCACACCTCTCTTCCTCATTCTTCCCCTGTTAGCATTGATTCATTTATAAGCAGTAATTTTGTATCCATTTACGTCAGCATTTATGTGTCTGTTCATTATTTTTTAAATCTCAAATTTCTAGCATGGTGTAGTTTCTACTAGGCTCAAATGCTTTGCCCATTGATCATTGTAAAGAGAAGGTATGAATGTACTTGACATTTTGTAGCTATAAATGAGGCAGAATTTCTTCATTATGTGAAGTATTGCTTTTGCAAGTCTCTTGTAGATTTAAGGCAAAAAAGAAACTTCAAATCATGTTTCTTATGAAAAAGGTTGATATATTTTTAATTTTTATTTGGGATGTTGTATTTTTTCTAGCAATCACTGTAATAAAGAGATTAAAATAGCCTCCAAAATAGCAATAACTGTTTTGTTCCTTTATTTCTATTTTATTATCTAGATTAATTAACAGTTCTTTTCACAACTGTCTTGAAAGATTTCTTGGACCTTTAAATTTGTAAATAATTACATGTACTTCAGCAGGGTATTCATCTTTTGTTCCAGCTTGTACATATTGTTCTTCTTTCATCAATTTACACGCATTTCATGAGACTCTGTCATGGCAGGCTATCTATATTACATAATTTATTCCAAATCCCGTAATTTCTGAGCATAATTTTGTTAAGATGAATATACAGTTTCTTATAGGTGCAAGTATGACAAATGATTTAATTAATGGGGATAAGACAATGGTATAGTTTACAGAGCTATTCTGTTTTTTGGTAAACTATGCTGAATATTGATGGTCCTTTGAATAATTTGTTTGAATATGCAAGGAACGGTCATTAGTCACTCCTTATTTGTCTTATTAACTTGATAAATTTTACATATATTCAGGAATTATTGTCTTGAATTTAACTACCATTTAATCGTTCATATCACAACCATCTGAAGTTCGTTTTTTATTGTTGAATCACTCCCCTTTTTCGACGAAAATAAGTTAAATCCAGTATTCCAGATCTCTACTCAGTATTTCAAGTCTGTTTAATCCTCTTTGTTTGTTTTTACTATTTCCCTATAGATACCTTTTTAATAAGGTTTACAGGGTGCCCCCATGTCAGAAGTAGCTTTTTTTCCTCGCAAGAGATGCATTTGTAGCGGTATCAAAGTAAAAAATTCAGAGAGTGCTATTTTTTTTCAAAACTGAAGGCTTCATTTAAATTCAGTGATGCATTTCGGACATAATCTCGATTACGTAAGACAGTTATTGTCTGAACCGTCCGATGTAATTTATCACAGCCATCAAACTGCTGTTATGACGATTGTAACATGGAGGTATGGTTGTAACGTCCCTAGATATTCTATCTCAGGATGTCATCTTGCCTACAGTATGTTGTCATCTTGAGATAAAATACCGCCAGGATCTCAAGTCCGATGGCACGGCATGCGTCGCAAGACTTTGGCACGCAGCCAAATGCAAAATGGCCCACAGCACTGAGGGAAGTAAAAATTGCTTGCACAATGTTTTGTAAAGGAAATATCGGCAGGCCTGCATCACAGAATTATGAGTACGCATTTGTCAAGGGCACACGAATGTATCGTTAACCTGACTACCCGTGTATTGTTCAACAGAACTCTATCCAATGAATGCGCAACAAACGCTACGATACGCATCTAGAGACGGTTACCATATCCATCGCGGCACCCCATGCATGATGGGGCGCACCGGAGGCGATATGACATCGTGGAAATTGGGCTGATGACGACGGACAACACTGTTTTCAGAAAAGCATTTACTGACCGCTTCGAAAGGCCTCAAAGTCTTCTTTTGTTTTAAGCGAGATAGCATTTGAAGTGCATTTTTACATATGTGAAAATAAGCAACAGTTATTGCTAATTTGCAATTAAAATCAAAATTTTGACAATCGTTTGAGTAGGAGACCTCATCTGTCATGTCTGTCTGAAGGAGCTCTAGAGACGTACGAACATTTTCAAGGGCGCCCTCCTTTCAGAAACTTGACGCCCTTCGAGGAACAAAATGTTACTTTGACCATGCTTTGACCTGCGGGAGTTGGACTTGGAAACATCACTCGTATCAAAGAAATTAAAGGTGTTTTGTTGACAATTGGTAATCGTCTATTTGTAAAATGAAATTGGGACAAAGTTTAATATTTCGGTAACTGGTGCTTTAGACTCAGATGCAGCATTTCTCTGGCCGAACAATGTCGTGAGCTACGCGACGCAGTTAACTAAGTTGTTTTTCTTTAACTGATTCGCCGATTTCACATCATGATAGTTGATCTTCAACATTGATTTGCAAGTACTTTTTAACATTTAACTCATACGATCACATAGGAAATGGATATATTTTTCTCCTTGAATACAAACTACTACAGCTTTTCAAGGAACCTAATGATGAGCAACATCCTCCTGGTGGTTGGCATCCTGCAATTAATTTGACACCCCGCACCTCCCGCCTAGACTACTTGACCATGGTGAAGGCCTTCCTTCGTGACATGACCAACGAGCAAAATGAGAATCCCCCTTAACTGTATTCAGGAATGGTTACCAAACTAACCTTGACTTAACTACATGTATTCCAAAGGAAACCCATTGTTGTATTTTTTGAGGTCATCTAATTCAAGTATTTTTCGGTGTCTATTTCTAACCCACCTTTGCCTTTGGAATTAATTGGATAGTGACGTCAATCGGATTCACAAGTAAACCCACAATGCGTTTGATCATGGTACCCGGCGTACCCTACGCATTTTGATTTGGTCGAGCAGAAACCAACGCGAATTCTTCGTGTCCGCCATGATGGATTCGGCGGTACAGTTTTGTTTATTTATTGACGATGTTGCGGCGCATAGTGGTTGATAGAATCGCGATTCCTCACCACTTTTGAATTGTCATGTGTTCGTGAGTAAGAAAACTGTTCATATTTCTGATCAGCCTGCTAACAAACGGGATCAACGGGGCTGAATTCCGTCATAACGACGGCTGATCAATGATCCGTTGTCTGTGGCAGGAGTTTTGTCAGCTTCCCGCAACATTTCACCAGGAACTACCACACTACGCAATGACCCAATTTCTGCGGTCAAATCCTCATGATTGTCACAGTGTTATGAGAATTACGGAGTATTCCACTCTGTTTGTTCAATTGAAGAGGAGACATTGAGTTGATGACAACAAAACAAGGAAATTGAACTCTAATCAGAAACTTTAAAAAGTCTAGTAACTTTCAACCTTGGCAAAGTTAGTGAGCAGCAAGTGTAGCCAGCTGAGTTGATTGAAGTTGAGCAGAACTGTTCCGGGGACATTCGTGTCACCATGTCCAGCAATTCCACAAAAAAGAATGACAAGGTAAAAGTTTAGACAGGTGGATAATAAGCCGTCGTCTTAATTTAACTGAATGGTATTTAGCCGGCTACAGGTAGACAGCGCCCTCTTTGATGTGTACGTGTATACACGAGTAAGTCTATAAAGCCTATTGCAATACCACAAGATTTCAAACTGATTCCATAGTCTAGTGCGTTGCACATACATCCTGACTACCCCCCCAGAACTGTGGGGTCCGACGTCCACCCTGCTCCCACGTTCATCGGAGCCCACAGTTCTGGGGGTACATCCTGACAGCAAATCTGAAGTTCTCTGAGCTGGGCTGGCTTCCCAACTTTTGCCTTTTTGTTTGTCCAAAAACTTGGGAATTTTCTTCTTTTGATTCAGGGCTCTGGAGGATTTTTTAAAGGAAAAAAGTCTGAATTGTTAGGATTGTAAAATGGTCTAATTCCTGCATTGTGAATATGAAGTTGTCTGAGCAGAACTAGAACCAAACTAAGATTCATCACGATAAGAGTTTCCAATTTCCTAAAAAACAGTTATTGCAAATGTGCCCAGCAAAATATCATTTTGAAGTTTCGCCAGTGAAAGCTAAATATTCATCGCTGAAAGTTTTATTAGATCATTCACAATTGACGTTGCAAACGCTTTTTGCTGATAATTGTTTTGTCATTGGTAAACATGTTCGAGGGAGTGTGCTAACTTTGGGTGAGGTTGTGAAAATGTCAACATAGCAAGTTTCTTAAAACCATACCTGATAGGAGACAGCTTTCTGTTGACGTTATTCCAAATGACAGGCAAGTCAGTCAACACCCTTAGGGGTGCATTCCACCAAATGGTTGGATTTCTGCGTGCCAGCTCATTAATATTTTGTGATCCCACGGGGTGTTTACAATAAGACATGCCATAATCAGGAGGGATCATAGAAATGTTTCTATAAATTGTGAATTTGGGACTGGTCGTTGTAGTTGGGATATTTCTTTCACAAAGAGCCCCAAATTGCAGGCCTGTATCGGACAGCTGAGCACGTAGTTTTATTACTATTTTGGGGATGTCTTTGGAAAAAGGTGAATTTAAAAAAAAATCACGTGGCTAACCCCCATAAAATTGAAACGAAAAGTGATCTTCTGGCCATAATCTTGAATTTCCATTGAAAAAACGGTGGCCAACCTTTCCTGAGAGTCAACAGGCGGTGCTATTTGGGTCTGATTTCGCACTGTTTTCTATGTGGGCATATTTGGTATAGTGCAAGCTTAGATCCAACGTTTAATTATCTGACTGACTGTGTTACATGCTCCTTCATGTTTTGAGCATGTCAGAGCATTCCATGTGTGACAAACTGCAATATTTTGGTGATGTACCCAGGTCCAGAATCTCTCTGCAATGTAATCTGAAGTCATTTCTCAGAGTCTTGACAGTGATCGTCCAGAAAGTTAATACAAGAATTTGACTTACAAGGACATTTGAAAATGTTGTGATTCATCCATTTCTATTTTCTAAAGTATCTTTTACTATTTTCTAAAGAAATGTCCGGTTACTGCACTTCTTTCCCATGTGAACAGCATTGTGTGGATTAGCCTGAATGCCAGATACATGCACATGTACATGTATGATGTTCATTGAAAGAAAAGATATACAGACCGACCATACATGTACATACATGTACATAATTGGTTCTGATTTGGGCTCAACCAAATAGATTTTGCTTTTAATTCTGAGCTCCTCCCCTTTTGTGTTATTGGCTTGTGTGAAATTTTTCGTTCATGTACTCCACATGTACACCATTATGGTCAGTGCTGCATTGTTTATGTACACGTATACATATCTTCTGCATGGATCTTGGCAGTAGCTGTGACCAACTTTCCTGTCCTCTGGACAAAAATTAAGATACCAAGATAACTCTATTGATTAATACATTGTGATTAAGATCACTTAATTGTATCATTTTTAATTGGTCACTGACCTGACCATACTCGTTTCAACTGTACATTGTACTTCCACAATGTTCCTCTTTAGGACGTTTTGGACTGGTACCACTCCCAGAGAGACTAGCAGATGATATTTTGTTCAACTGCACATGCTCAGATTTTGTGGGGAAATTCTCTCATGAAAAGTTTGTAAGCTGCCAGGAGCATGTTGGGCTTGTCCACATTACAGTTGAGTACATCTGTGTGCACAATGGTATCCACCAGAGACTAACAATCGGAATATTTTTATGAATAGTTTGTAAGTTGTAAAAGAAAGTTCTAGATTGACATCAGATCGATCGCCCACTCTGTCACAAACCACCCATTTCCATAAATGGAGCAGTTGACTGTTGACTGGTTGCGCAAGGCACATCTTTTAATGACTCATAAACCTTTGCATGTGAATTGGCAACTAGTCCTGTCCGGATATAAATTGTGCACACATTACTAAATTTAGGGGTGTGCGTTTCCAGGTATTTTTGGAACCGGGTACATGTACCTGTTTTACATCAATACCGGGTACCCGGGTACACTTAAAATGTAAAGAACATTCAACAAATGGCATTATATGCATTCCCAGCCGACCATTTGTCTCCAACAGCAGCACATTGGTTTAAACATTAGAGGGGAATCTTCCCCACCTTTTTCTTCAACAAAATTGTTACCTGTGGTTTGTATCAAAAATAGCTCTGTCAATCTCTGAGCCGCAGTTATGACCGTGGTACCGGGCTTTTCAGCAGCATAGTGACTTTTCAGCCCTTCACTATTAAAGTTCACATACATGTACATTTTATGCATGGAATGGGGGGGGAGGATTATGGGCACCTGTCCAGAAAAATGGAACCGGGTTTTGATATCGACAGGTGGTTACCCAACACAGGCTGGAGAGTTTGTATGGTGGTCCAACCATGTTCCTTATACATTGTAAATGTACATCACTGGTAGCTTAGGACTACTTCATTTACCCATAAAAAAGCCAACTGTTTACTATCGGTATACATGTGTAGGACATAAATGCCTGGACACTCAGCAGTTTCCAGCTTCTGTCATTGTTTGTTTGAGTCAAGTGAGGTTTTGTAAAGTGAAAACGGGTAAAAAAGTACACTAAATTAATATTGAATGACACCATTCATTGTGTCAAATTTCCAGAAAGGTTTCATTCGCAATTGTGCTTAATAAAATATCTCTAAGTCCCCAGTGGTAAACGTGCGTGCATGCTACCGTTATAATACAGATATTCTTAGCCACTGCACGTCTTGCACTGGTGGTTGCCACATGTCTGTAGGCAATAGTTGGTGTATTATAAAGCCATCTTGTACCATTACTGATCATTGGTAATACATTCATGAGTTTATAGAGGTGTGCTGTCGACAGTAGTATTTATTCCAAGCTGTTGGTTAGTACCAGGCATACAATGTACATGTACAAGTTCATGTCTGTATGCATAAGGTGTCAGTGTATACAGTATGGAGTGAAAAATACCATGTTGATCAGTCCTGAGTGCCTCATAAAAGGCAATGCGGTTAGGGTCAGTGGTCAATTGTCTTGCCTTTGGTCAATTGGTCTGTTGGCATGGTTGGTCAGTATTTAAGTGTCAAAGCCTCCAGACAGCCTAGTTTTTCTCAGCATGAGTCACCAGGCACACTGTATTATGTACATGTATAGCATTTCATACCAGAGGCCAAGGACCAGACTAAAATCTCCATCAATAGCCAGTTTTGTTTTGTTCTTTTTTGACAATGGAGCTTTGCGTTAGATTGTTTTTTTCAGGTAGCACAGTCCAATCAGTGGACGATGATTTGGTTGTGTAGTCCAAAGCTTAACCTGAACCTTAATGTTGTGCAAAAGCCATGCCTGTATAACACTCCTCAGAGTCTGCTATGTAATCTTGTTGGCTTATTATGACTCATAGGAGGTATCCGTACATGTACATGTACTTTACATGTACTGTATTTTATGCACAGTGTGCATTCTAACTAACATGCAGTTAACAAGAAGGTACTTAAAATCAACAAAAGAAGGTTGAGAAACACGCCCAAAAATCATGTTCGGAATTTCTTTTTCTGTTGAGCAATTCCTTCAAAATTGCTGATACATATACATGTAGGTACATGTAATCAATAATGATATTACTTATTGATGTGTTGGATGTCAGTGAAAGCATGTTTAACCTTTAATGAGTTATGATCATTATTATTCGATGAAAGACTATTATTGAACAGGGAACCATATTGAAAAGGCCTAGCAACTTTTGATGTGAGACTGGCATTTCGACCATGATTGTATATGTACATGTGTCATGTTTAATACGGTTTATTGAATGGCTTGTCGTAGATGGTTTGGTACCAGTACACATGTACATGTCAAAAAATTATGTACTAAGCAATGTTATGCGAATTGATAACGTTATTTGGTTGGCATTTATATTTGCAATCGGTCGAGTATAGCAAAGTACATGCACATGCACATATATTTAGAAAAACTACTTTATTTGGCAGTTGGCACTTAAAATGACTTTTATGTTATAATGAAATTGCCATCAGACAGTAAAGCAAAATTGAGGGAATTTTCTCTTGGCATTTGTTGCTTGATCTACATGTATGATGACACATTTTCAATTCCATTCATGTACACGTACATTTCATGTTTTTAATAGGCCACAGAAAGTGAAGTAGTCGGAAAAGCTTCACTAGCAGTTTAGACTTTATGGGATCTTTTTAGACAAAAATAATTGTTGGAGTTTTTAACTAAGATTTGGAAACACATTTTTGCTGTTAGGTAAAAGACTCACAATGGGCAGTGCTTATGCAATGCTTCAGCTAAACCCTCCCCCATCCCCATGTAGTTCTGCTTCTGTTGGCCCCACTTACCCTTGTGGTTTTATGGTGAGACCCTAAACTTTTTATTGGCAAGTTAGAAAAAAAAAATACAAAATCCCGCTGTCATTTCTGCTTTACAGTGTGCCTCTCTCACCGTTTTTTTTTTTATCAAAAATTTTTTGTTTGATTCCCTATTTACATCCATTATTTTGAAAAGAAACTTCCTTTGATTTTACAA